CCATGATGAACAGCGATGACGACGATAGCGATGACGACGATAGCGATGTCGACGATAGCGTTGACGACGATAGCGATGTCGACGATAGCGTTGACGACTATGATGAGTTTGCGCCCTTTTGCCCTATCGATCCTCCCCATCAGGAACACTCGCCCAACGGCGGCGAAGGAGCTGATTCGGCTGCGCAGACCCTGGTGCAGCCTTTGGCGCGTGAAGAGCTCGAGGCAGGAGAAGACTCTGCCAATAATTTTTTTGCCGCCCTCTCAGCCAGTACCACCCAGACTGCTGTGGCCGTGCCGGAACCGCCGGCCGCTGGGACAACCTCCAACCTTGCCCTCGCCACTTTTACCTCCACTGCACCTGCCTCAGTCAACCCTGTTCCAGTCGCCTCTGCTTCAGTCGTCCCTCCCTCAGACATTGCCGCTTCAATCGCGTCATCCACCGATGCCCGCGTGACCTTGCTGCAAACCAACACCAACGCCTTCAACTGTCCAGATGCTGATGCCATAGCAAAGACGCCCAATCCCGACTTGACTACCAATCTAAGCAGCGGTCTTTTGCTCGGTCCCACGGAAACGCACCACGCGCAGAACACCAAGCGTCAAAGCCCCTTGAGTCGCACGGCGGCAAGGCAGCGCAAAAAACAGGAGCTCTTGAGCCGTGTGCCTTTTGGAGGCGATGTCAGCCACTTGGTACGTCTTCCCGGTCTCTGCGTAGCTCCGTGCGATCACGACGAGTATCTGAGAGAATCGTGCGCTTCATTCTCATTTGTACTTCCATCTTCGTTGGCTCTACTCTCATCTGTATTCCTCGTCTTCATCATTGCATTCAGGTGACAAGTCCACCGTGCACCACGCCGTCTACGGCGGCATCAGAGACATCACATGCAAGTACCGAGGCGCGAACACGAGAAGCCTCAAGCGCCGCTGCGGACCGTAGCCCTTCCCCATCAATCGTCCAAACTCGGTCTCCACGTCGAACACACCTTGCACGAGTGGCGCAGTGGCAACCACATCCCAAGAAGAGAAAATCGTCTAAGTCCACCCAATAAGGAAACAGCTTGCTTACTAAGTGTTTGGAAAAAAAATCGTCCCGGGCGTTTGTCAATCGAAATAAACCTTGAATGACCATTGATCAATCAGAACTTGTCTTGTCCATCTGCCTCTACCCACCAAGTTGTCTCATTGCTTCGCTGACTCGTCTTATGGCGCTGCCATTTGACATACCAATCGGAGCCATGTAGCCCTAGAGAATCAAAACTAAGTTAGTTTTGTAAGGAAAAGAAATGGGATTTATTTCAGAATAACTAATTTTCTGGTCTTTGGGCTGCTACGGCATCCACAGGAAGCGTATGAACACAAGAGCACCCTCGTTTGATCCACAAAAATTTAGCGCTTCTGCTGTGCTTGATTTGAAACGTACTTCACACAGAATGGCCGAGCACGACCCGAAATACTGACTGCCAATTAATCGCACCTGCCTCAATCCCAAGAGCAATATGTTGTTACAAAAAGGGAATACATATGTTACTTTCAAGGAGGTGACCGAACTATCCCGCTGAACAACATATTAAGGTACATTCATGATTTCTTTTTTATCTGACATTCGAGAAGTGTGCGGTATGGGGGTGATATCACTTTCCGAAGCTTCGACGCATTCAAGCAGTGGTACGTTCTCTGAATTTGTGACCCACGTTCATGTCGTCTCTGCCATGGCTTGAAGTTTACTCGTGAACCTTCCTGTATTTTGATCGATTCTCTGCCTCCACACCCACTTCTTGACGTCTTCTCTGCGCTCTTGATCGGCGCGATCTCGCTGCATTTGATCGAGAGAGCGAAAAAGCGAGAGAGCGAGAGCGAGAGGTACGGTACCATCGCCGGTCCTCGCCGGACACGACCCCCTGGTCATCTTGGGGTGTGCGTTCGTGGTCGTGCTTGAAGAACAGGGTGACGCTCAGCTTGAGGGCTTTGCCAGCCCCTCTGGGCATATGCTTTAGCCGCTGTGGTGATAATGTGTGGTCGTTGCGTATCGGTTTGCAGGTGTTGGGCTGTCAAGTTTTGGATGCAATACCATGTACATGTAAATCTCGAACAGAAGGTCATGGGCCGATATGCCGGACCAATAGCGTAACGTCGTTGCGCGCGCGTTTCTCCGCTGCCGTGATCTGAGCTCGAGGGGCTGCGCCCGCGGCGCTTCGCCGCTGCAACGTGACCTTTACCTCACCTCGGGTCCCACCAAGCAAGGCAACATGCGATCATCGCCGGAGCCGCCCCGCTGCCGCGCGAGCCGGCCTCGTGGATGGTGCTTTTGGCTGCTACTGCTCGCGTACCAGCTATGGTACATGTCCTTGCCAATCAAAGCGGCGACCGCAAATCCCGTCCGCAGTGTATACCGCCTCGCAGCTCACGAAGCCGTGAACATTTCCGATGGCGAGGGCAACTACCAACCTCAAACTGAGCGCGAATATCTCTTTCAGGGTGCGCCCACCCTCCCCACCATCTGCGCCCGTAGACCGTGTATCAGTTTTTGCCTTCATTCTGTGCTTACACGCATCGCCGCCACCTGTTTATCCCACCTGACAGCGGCCGAGCCCGGTGTCCAGCTCATTCTCACCTTTAGGGATCTGGCCACGGAATGTCAGTATGATTACTTTTTTGTGTATGATGGCGGCAGCTACAACGCCACACTCCTCGCCGTCCTCTCTGGCGATGATCTTCCTCCGGAGCCTCTAACCGCAACATCGGGGCAGGTCAGCCACATGTCCCTTCCCTCTTGCTTTTGATTTCTTTTTTTTTATTTGCGTCGAATTCCGGTCCTAAGCCCGATCGGCTCGCTCATTCGCTCCGCCAATCCCTTTCCCTATAAACAGATGCTCCTCATGTTCTACAGCGACACCAACTATGTCCTGCGAGGCTACGATGGCATTGTGCAAGCCGTGCCGTGTGTTGATGTTTGTGCGCATGGCACTTGTATCGATGCCCAGTGCCGCTGTGCCCCGGGGTGGACCGGCCCCAATTGCGCCAAACTTGCTTGCCCATCCAACTGCAGGTGCGTCAAGCTATCCCACTCCTTCCGCATTTGCACCCATCTCTTATGACCTGGATTCCATGCTTCATATGCTGACATACGCATCTGTGCTTTGATCCCTCTTCATCCTGCTGATCTTTCAGTGGGCATGGCTCCTGCTCAGAGCCTCACAACCGCTGTGTGTGCGAGCCCGGTTACGCGGGGGACGCGTGTGAGCAGCCTACCACCAGCGGTACTTGGTGGACCATTAGCCCTACGGATCCTGTCTTTGGTATGCGTCAACAAATGGCTTCTTGCTACACGCAGGTACGAACCCTTTGCCTTGACAGGCTCTTTGCCTCGACAGGCTCTTGCCCAACATCGGCCCACCAGCGCCCAGCTCACAAGATCGCGTCTGTTCTGTTCAGTCTGCGTGGTACGTCTTTGGAGGCTACAGTTTCGATACTGTGCACCGTGACTTGGTAGCCTTCGACTTTGAGGTGAGAATAGCCTTGCCTGTTTTCTCAGAAGACCTCCCACACACAGAGGCTGGCTCACTCTCTCCCGCCCTTGTTTCGGATGCTACGCACCGCAGACAGGCGTTTGGCAACTGCTGCATGGCGGTGGAAACATGGGCCCATCAGCGCGCCAGCTAGCCACGCTTGTGGCGCTGGACAACGAGCAACTCCTCCTTTACGGGGGTGTTTACAGCGGCCAAGTTCTGGCAGACCTCTGGTCCTTTGATCTACTCACCTCAAGCTGGACTCAGCTGGACCCGCAGCTGGACTGCACCAGCTTTTGTCTTGCCAACACAGACGCACACCGTGCGAGTCAAACATTGACGTTGATGGCTTGCCCCCACGCCCCTGCCAATTGCTCTCTTCCGCCACTCGCCGGTCACAGCGCCGTCATGGCAGAAGACAGCATGTACTTGATCGGCGGACGGAGTGAGACAGATGCATTTGAGTCTCGTCAATTTCGATACGATGCCGTTCTTAATTTATGGCAAGCACTGCCACCGGCCCGACACGTGTTTACAGAAGCAGTTGGGCACACGAGTGTTTACCACCCAGCGACGCGCGCCATCTATTCCTTTGGTGGAGTGCGACCTTATCATGCGCAGTATGGTGATGCTGTGGATGACCTGGACATCTTTTTCGTGGATACGCAAGAGTGGATCGAAGCTCCGAGACGAGCGGACGCGGTCTGGCCCTCCACGCTTGCCTTCCATGCTGCCCTTCTCATCGACGACGACACCATGGTCATGTATGGGGGTTTCAATAATCTCCATTACGAAGAGGAAGTGTGTCACGGGTATGCAACTTGGGTCTATCACTTTTCATGTGGGGCTTGGTCCCCCGCTGGCGGTAATATCGGTCAAGGTGAGATGCACACGACCTTCAGGCGTTGACATTCCTTGCTCATCCTACGCTACGGCACATTTATCACCCTTCATCCCTGTCCATTGATATCTCCCTCTTTGCAGTCAATCGATCCCGAGTGCCACGAGGGCGAGCGGGTCTGGCGATGGCTGCTCACAACGGATCGCTCTACGTGGCGGGTGGGTACAACGGTCCCGTCTTGGGCGATGTCATCATGTACAGCCCGGTGTCCAACTGGTGTGAGACACATGAAGGCAGTGACACCTGCCTGAGTCAGTCTGCATGTGGCTTTTGCATAGCAACCACTCAATGTATGTGAATCATGCCAACCACCATCTTGCTGCCAGAGGCACTGCTGTTCTGTTTTCCCGCATTGCTTACTTCACGTTGTTTTGTCATTGGCTGCGACTATCAACGCCACGCCCCCCTCGTGTGAATTTTGTAGCGGAACTCCTTGATTTCATCTATTATCCAAACACGCAGTTAACATACCCAGCTCACTTCAATCAGTTGTCCATGGCAAACCTTTTCAAGGCTCTTGTGCTCGACACCCACGTGGTTGCCGACGCCGCCAGCTGCGCCGCCATTTGCTTGGCTCGATCGGACTGCCGAGGCTTTGATTTGCAAGTGATTATCGCAACGGCCAACTATGGCTGCCGCACCCTATCTCAGCCACGCCAATGCCTTCCTTTCCTTGGTGCTGATGTGCTACCCGTGAATTCCTCCCTGGTTGCCAACGCCTCGAATGCGGGCACGTACTTTTTGCCCAGCCCCATCAACGGCAGCACAAGCTGTCACATCGAGCCCACTCTCAACCAGGTTGTCCGGTTGCACTCGCGCTTGCCGTGGCCGTTTTCATGCATGCCTTCTCCATCGCGCTTGTTCCTGTCACTCACGGCCCCATCGCCTGTCCTCGGGTTTGGTACTTGATGCAATGTAGCTTTGTGGTAACGACTGCGGCTTGAACGCCACCTGCATTGCCTGGAATGTCTCAAACGCGAGTCCCACATGCCGCTGCAATCCGAGTCATCAGCTCAATCAAGGCGTGTGCGATGACGTCTGTCACGCATACAGCAATAACACACAGTGCACAGATCGCGACACGTGTTTCGATGGCCTCTGGCTCTACAACAGCCCCAGCGACGCCTCATCCGTCTGCGTGGCAAGTCACGAGTGTGACAAGCTGGGTGGCATTCGTACACTATCGCAGCAGGGGCAGCGCGTTTGCCGCAGGCAAGCGTCGAGCCGTTCTCGGCGCTCCAGTTCATTTCTTGAGGAACCCATGTGTTTTGCGGATCAAGCTGCGGCAGGCACCTACTTTCGCCAGCTTGCTTCATTCAACGCCAACATTCTCAGCACCCTGCCTGCCACGGCCTTTTCACAGTCCTCTACATCCGGGTTGGCGGTAGCAGGGCATGCGGCTGTTGACATCGAGCCTAGCCTTGGTCAAGATCAGGCATGTGCCGTCACCCAACCAGAGCCCACCCCAAGCTGGCAGGTCATCTTCAATTTTCCCCTTGCAGTGGGTGAAATCCATCTGTACGGTGCAGCTGCTTTGCCCGCACTCAACATCACTGTGTACCTGCAGTCCAACAACACCGCGTTGCCTTGCGCTGACGTCACCTTGACGTCAGCTGGCACGGTGGCCAGCTGCTCGGGTCTGGTTGGGGACTTGCTAGTGGTGCGCGCACGCCCCGCACCTGCTGCACAGTTGCAGCAACTTGGTTTATGCTACGTGGCTGCGTTTGTGGCCGAGACCGCACAGTCCAACATGAGCCGTGCATGCGGAGGCCCAGGGCACGGTGAATTTGTGGCCGGCTCGTGCGATTCCCCCTGCGAGCTTATTACCGACTGCCGTGCGTGCGCTGCAAGTACTAGCTGTGGGTGGTGCGCCAGCACTGGTACTTGCCTGGACGTCTCGCTCGAGGCTGAAAGCGATTGTGCTTCAACCTCAATGGCAACTGATCCAGCTGCTTGCAGCCTCACCAAGGCGACCACGGGCGTTGTACGCCGCCTTTACGACTTTTACGGCAGCCTTACCCTCTCAACCTTTGAGCAATGTTATGATTTGGAGCATGCATTTCCCCGTGACGTTGAATTGGCCGATACTTTGTCCTCGCCCACGTCGGGTCGCACACCTTACGGCGAAGAAATGATTGCGTACCTTACGCCAACACACTCCGCCAACTACACCTTCTTTCTTCGCAATCGCCAAGGCTTGGCAGCCAACCTATTTCTGGCTTTTGACACTTCGCGCGGCTCCACTGACGCGATGCCCAACTTGGAGCGCATCGTCTCTCTCCCCGCCCTCTCACCGGTTCCGCAGCTCTCATGGACTGTCAGTTCTAGGCAGCGGTCTGCTTCGATTCCTTTAGAAGCTGGGCGTCGCTACCTTGTTCGCACCCTTGCTGTGGCTTCGTACGCGTCATACTACGGACAACATCAACTGCTGGTGGCTTGGTCCACCGGCACCAGTCCTGACGCCTTTGCCAACATCTCAGACGCCGACGTCATCCCGCCCGCTCTTTTAACTCCCTTCGCGCCCACCAATTGCAGCGACTTTGATTCTTGCCGAGGTTGCCTCTCCACAAGCAGCTGCACGTGGTGCAACGGGCTCTGTGTGGCTTCAACCGACCTTCTGCACGACTCGGTTGACTCCTGCGAGGCGCATATTAGCAGCTTTGACAATTGCCCCGATTGCTCAGACTTCACGGAATGCACCGATTGTCTCGACCAGGCGCACTGTGAATATGCCAGTTACTACTGCCGCCACACGACGCCGTACGTGGCGACCCGAGAGGTGGCTGAGTGCCCGTCTCCTTGCTATCAGCAGAACGACTGTGCATCTTGTGCTGCGCTCGTAGAGTGTGGATGGTGCGCGACAACGCAAAGCTGCTTTCCCTTTCACGCCTACCTCTCTGAATATCCCAGTGGGGGCTGTTTGGACTGGCAGACGGACGCGAGTCGGTGCTCTGTGTGCGAAGCAATGGATGACTGCTACACCTGCACAACTGCATTTGAGTGTGGCTGGGCATACAACGCTTCGTCGCCCCACCTGGGCCGCTGCGTTGTGGGAGATTTCGGCGGTCCCCGAGCCCTGGCCACGGGTGAAGAGGGCGGTCTCTCAGACCGAACTCTGTGGGCCTACGACGTTTGTCCCCAAGTTGACGAGTGCAGTCTGGGTTTGGACAATTGCAATGTGACTTTCGAAGCGTGCGTTGATGTGAACGGCACCTTTCCCAACTCCTTTCGATGTGAATGTGCGGATGGCTACCGCCCCACCTCGTCCACCACCGTACCCTGTTTGCCCGACTGCCCAGCGGGTTGTGTGCATGGAGCTTGTGTGGCACCCAATGTGTGTGCATGCGCATCCGAATGGACCGGCCCCACCTGTGAGGGTTGCATATTGCAATCCAGTGGTGCTCACCCGTGCGGTGTCAATGCCAGCTGTGCCCCTGCTGGCTGGATCGAACCACCCGAGGGCTATGTTAATGCTACAAACCGAACAGACGGCACCGATCCCTCCCATCCGCTTGTTTGTCGCTGCAACGAAGGCTATGCTGGTGTGCCAGACCAGAGCTGTGCACCGGTTTGCGAGACTTTGGGTTGCGTACACGGGGAATGCGTGGCGCCCGACGTGTGCCGCTGCGTTGACGGGTTTGCGGGCGGTAATTGCACAAGCTGTGACACCACACACCCTGATTATGACTGGTAAGTGTCATGAAGCCCCAGAAAGATGCCGTCCTAGTGGTGTGTCTATGGCGCTCGTGTTTTACTCACCGTTTGACCACTCGCTTGTTTTGGGGCACAGCTCCCCGTACGCCACGTGTCAGCGTCTGCCCCACCCTTACAGCGGCGTTTTTCTCTTCAATTGTACTTGTCGCTCTGGGTTTGAGGGAGATGGCCACACCTGTGTGCCCGTGTGCTTCCCTGAATGTCATGCTGAGCATGGTCGCTGCATCTCGCCGAATGTGTGTGCTTGCGAGGCCGGCTGGATGGGCGCTGCATGTCGTGAGTGTGATCCAGATCACAGTCCATGCGGGCAAGATGCCGAGTGCGTGGCATCGCTCGCCTCCGGCGGGCAACTGGCTTGCACGTGTGCACCCGGGTACCAAGGCGATCCCATGGAGCGCTGTGAACCTATTTGCGCCGAGGGTTGTGTCTTTGGCACCTGCGTGGCGCCCAACGAGTGCTCCTGCTTTGATGGTTTTGGTGGCGCGCAGTGTGACTTGTGCAACCCCAACATGGTGGACGTGTGCCAAGAGAATGCCGCTTGTGAGATGATGCCAGCTCAACCAGGTTTACCTGGTAATGAGACGCGCTACCAGTGCGTTTGTGCTCAGGGATACGAAGAAGAGGGTGCCGGGGCAAACCTCACCTGTATGCCTACGTGTCCGGATGGCTGCGATCACGGCCAGTGCCAGGCGGTCAACACGTGTGTGTGTGCTGCAGGCTTTGCCAACTCCGCCTGGACCAACTGCAGCGAGTGCGCCGAGGTGGAGCTGGTTGACTTTGCAGACGACGGATCTGGTTCAGCCCTGTGCACCCCCCATGCATCCTGCACAGATCAAGATGGTCTCGTGTTGTGTCGCTGCCGTCAGGGCTATCGCCCTCTTGGTTCTCTTTCGCACGCCAAACTGAGCGCAAGCATACCTTTGGGCTATGCTGGTAACGAGACCGATGACGATCCTGTGCTGGTTGGATTTGAGGGCTGCCTGCCGGTGTGCACTATGCCCTGTGCAAATGGCGGTACCTGTGTGGCAGCAGACACATGCAACTGCACTGAGGAGTGGGGAGGCTCCGCCTGCACCGAGTGTCCAGAGACCAACGCGTGTGCTGCTGCGCATGCGCAATGTACCAAGTTGGATGCCGCAACGCGGGACGCCCTGTTTGATACCCCAGCCAAGCAAGCGGCGGGCATGGTGCGCACCGAAAATGAGACAGCGATATGGCTTGGGAGCTATTTGTGTCAGTGTGAGGCAGGGTACGCTGGCGATGGGACCTCTTGCACACCCGTTTGCCCTCTAGCCTGCGTGCACGGTAATTGCACTGCGCCAGGTGCTTGCACGTGCGATGAGTCACTTTATGTGCCGGGGGTACCGGCCTGGTCCGGCCCTCAGTGTACCGAGTGCGTCGAGGGCACGCACGACTGTCACCCCAATGCCAGTTGTACCTCGGATGCGGCGGCGAGCCGGGCTTGTGTCTGCGACGAGGGCTTCACTGGAAACGGGTCCTTTTGTAGCCCCATCTGCTCTGCTGGCTGTGTTTTTGGTACCTGCGAGCACGCCGTGCGGCCGGGCGGGTATGGTGTTTGTGTCTGCGACGCCGGTTTTGACGGTCAAAACTGCAGCACGTGCATTCAAGGTCAGCACGGCTGTGCCGCCAATGCCTCCTGTGCCACGCGAAACGGCCAGCTTCAATGCGTGTGTGATGAAGGCTACCAGGGTGATGGCTACACTTGTGCCCCGATCTGTACGCTACCGTGCGTCAACGGGGGTAGCTGCGTGGCGCCCGACGAATGCCAATGTGCGCTTGGCTACACTGGGGCGCTGTGCGAGCTCGAGTGTGGGTGCAATAAACACGCCACTTGTACGGACGGACCCGGACTTTGCGACGCCTGTCAAGAACACACGACGGGAGCATTGTGTGAGCGCTGTGCTGAGGGTTACTACGGCAACGCGACCAACGGAGGCGCGTGTCAACCGTGCCCTTGTAATGGCCACGGCTCCTGTGATCCGCAGACGGGCACCTGCAGTTGTGATGCAGTGACAGAGGGGCCGACCTGTAACGTTTGCCGCCCGGGCCTGTATGGCAATCCGTTGAACGGTGGGCCGTGCATGGCATACTGCAGTGAAGGGCGGAATCGCATCGCGCTGACCCTGTCCTCTGGCTATTTGGGGTCGGGTCCGGGTTCCACTTGTCCCAACGGCTTGGGTGCTCCGGACTGCTACGAGATTGATCACTCCTGTATCACGGTGCTCGTGGCACCTAACCCGGAGCTGACCATTGTTCTGGAGATGGTGTCCTTCCAGACCGAGTGTCATTTTGATTTGCTGCGCGTATTTGAAGGTCCTTCTCTCCGCTCTCCGCAGCTGGGAACGTTGTCTGGGTTGTCTTTGCCGCCCACCCTGCGGGCACGCGGTAATATGACCCTGCACTGGTGGTCCGACGAATTGTACGCAATGCAAGGCTATGTGGCACGTTATTCGGTGCAAAACTGCTCCGACTTTTGTGCTCATGGCCGCTGTGTGGCCGGTGCTTGCCTTTGCGATGCGGGGTTTACCGGCTACGACTGCAGCGAGCCGCGTTGCTCCCCAGCGTGTGATGCGACGCGGGGCTCGTGCAATCCCAATACTGGACACTGTCTGTGCTTGCCTGGACGCCATGGCACAGATTGCCAACTGAACTCGGCCGTGGGCGGTTGGACCGAGCGCACGGGCGTCCTAGAGCATGGTCTGGCGGGACACTCGCTGACATATGACGCGACACGGGACATTTTGCTGCTTGTTGGAGGCCGTACAGGTGAAGGATCGGCACTAGGGTTCCGGGGCAAATTTGGTCAGGGTACCGTCAAAGCTCAAGTTCTGGAAGTGACCCCAGAAAGCATGGCCCTGACGGTGCGTGCTCGCCTTGAGGGCACAGCAACCAGTCCAAGTCCCCGTTACCGCCACGCTGCTGCTCTCTTAAACAACACGCTGTGGGTGTTTGGTGGCTTGAACGACCAACATCAACTGAATGACGAGCTTTGGCGACTTGATCTACAGTCTTGGACCTGGTCCCCTGTCGTACCCGCCGCCAATACAACGTGGCCACCAGCGTGTGCAGGCCACCAGTTGATATCAGCTGAGGGCCGCCTGTACTTGATTGGAGGGCGTGGCTATGAGGATGGCCTCTTGGATGTCTTTTATGTGTATGACCCCACGGAAGGCCTTTGGCAGGTGCGTGTGTTTGGCGAGCGCTGTGTCTTTGCCCCTCAAGACAGGACAGCCACTTGAGAGGCGCGGGCTTTTTCACCAATGTGGAATGCAGCTAACGTTGTAATGAATTGTCGTCTTACCCCGATAGGAAATGAGTCTGGAGGGTGCCTCACCGGCCGGGGCAATGCAGTCTGTTGTTGTTTTTGATGAGGCACGGCGGCGCATCCTACTCCACGGTGGTCGAGGTCAAGTCCGTATGACAAACGGCATCTTCAATCAGGCCGCGTACTTTCAATATGGCAAGGTACAATCACAGCAGCTCCGCGCCATTTCCACTCCCACTTTAGATGCAACTCGTGGCCGCTTATCATCCTCTTGTGCCCGCGCACGGTTTGACGCAGATGGGCACTCGGAGTCGACTTTGGGCTTTTCAACTGGCCACAGAAACATGGATAGCCCTGCCCGCCGCGCCCACCTCAGCGGCCAACACCCCGAGTCGATTTGCACACGTGGGTGGCATTCTCAATCATCATTTGGTATGTTCTTTAAAAAAAAAAAAAATTAAAAAGCGCAGGATGATTCCCCACTCCATGCTGTCTCAAAGATTGTGCGTCTTGAACTGTTTTGTTTTTCTCCCTCTCTCGTTTTCTCTCAACTGTTTGTCTTTCTGCGCTGTTTAGGTCCTGGCCTCAGGCTCAGCGTACGACGAGGCAGAACCTTTGAACTGCTATGAGTCAGAGGTGTTTGTCTACGACTTGGCTTGTGAGAGCTGGCTGAGCAAGGGTGCCGCGGCTGCCCTTGGCTATTCTTCGCCCGCTCCCATGCCCGGTTACACAGAGAGTGCCGCGGCTGTTCGATGGCACGCGGATAAGGCCCAGCTCTTAGCCATTGGTGGCTTTGATGGTGTGTTGAGCCGCAATGCCTATGTACTACAGCGACCGCGACCTGAGGGCTGCGCCCCTACCAATGCAAGCTGCGGTGCCCCGGCAGCAAGTGCCTGCCCGGCTCTGCCACCATGCTCCTCTCACACCGACTGTGAGATGTGCGCGTCTGATGACCGCTGCAAGTGGGCCTTCCACCAGTCACAAGATTTTGCCGGTTTGCTGGGTACTTGTTTCCAAGAGGATGACGATTTCTTGAGTAACGACGTCGTCATCCGCGAGCAGGGCTTGTGTAATCTTTGTGGTAACCGAGCCCAGTGCAGCTCCTGTGCTGGTCTTGCTGACCCAGGACACCCCGGTGCGTGGTATCACGGCGTCGTCACATACTTTTCCTTCACTGAACGTGCTTCCTTTGCTTCTGTGTTTTTAATGTTTCCTTTTTCCTTTTGAAATGGCTTTCGGCTCTTCTACCCTGTTGTCTCTCTGCCGTCACTGTCTCTGCCTCTGTCCTTCCTGACTCGTACTGCCTGCCCTGCCTCTATTACAGGTGCGGGCGGTACGCCTGGCCGGTGCGGCTGGTACGAAAACCCACCCTTCCAGTACGTGAATCGCCCCGCTGCTAAGTTGCGCTCTGCAGAGGCCTTTGGGACATTCTTCTCACACCTCTCTTGCTTCCGGAAAGGCACCACTTTTGCTTGAGCCCCGCATCGCCAGTCACTGTCATTCGCAACATCAAGTATTCGCCTGCCACCTGCCCGGCTTCGTGCTCAGAGCAGCACGACTGTGCATCCTGCTCAGACATTGATGGTTGCTCCTGGTGTGAAGACTTGCAAGAGTGCTTCGACACCAGCAATTACATTGCCGATACAGGCTTGGGCGAATGTCTGCATCAGGCCACCTCCAGCACCTGCCCGGCTGGCTGTGCCGTGCATCGAACGTGTGCCAGCTGTCTGAGCGATGCTGCATGTGGCTGGTGCTTGGACACCGTGTCCCAAACAGGGCTCTGCGTGGCTGGAGACGCCGCGGGTGCAAACAACGGCACGTGTGTGGACCATCTTGATGTTGCAGGGGTTGCAGTGTCGCGCCTGTGGTTGCAACCGAGCCCTGTGTCCTCAAACACCGGCCCGACCAATGGCCCGGCTTTTTCTGACTTGGGCACTGCTTCTGCTGACAATTTTACATGGCACTATTTTGCATGCCCCCCCGTCACGGTGTGCGACGGGCTGTCAAATGCATGCTCGTCGGCAGCCTTGTGCAATGACCTCGACGTACCTGTCTTGCCCGGCATTGATCTTGGCCCGAGCTTCGAGTGCGTGTGTCGTGCGGGCTATTCGGGTGACGGCACGGTGTGCCAGCCACTTTGCGAGACGTATGGATGTGTGCCAGGCCAAGGCACTTGCACCGCACCCGACGTGTGCAGCTGTGCCTTGGGCTTCTCAGGTGTCAACTGCTCAAGTGATTGTCGCTGTAACGGGCACAGCGCCTGTGATGCCAATCTCGCATGCGGTGCGTGTCAGCACAATACTGAGGGTGTGCGATGCGAGCGGTGCCGGGACGGGTTTTTCGGCGATGCCACCGTCGGCCAGGATGACGACTGCACGCCGTGCTTGGACGTGTGCAACCAAAATACCAATGAGTGCTATTCGTCCATCGATGCAGCTCCTAATGGCATGGTGTGTCGCAACTGTGCGCCTAGCAGCCATGCCACGGGTCCTTACTGCCGCGACTGCTTGGCAGGCTACCAGCGACTCACCAGCTCCTTGTCCGGTATAAGCGTGTGTCGTGAATGCCCTTGTAATGGCCATTCTGACCGCTGCGATCCGGAAGGGGATGAGACCTCGTGTGAGTGTGACTCGAGCAGTCACGCCATGAACTCGGCTGCCGGTGCCTGCACAGTTTGTCGGCCCGGCTACGATGCCGCTTCCAATAAACTGGAGCTTGGTGAGCCGTGCTATCGGACCCTCACTACACACTCCACCTACAACACCGTCATGTCGCGCGCGTCCGTTTACCCCACCCTATTTGGATCCCTAAGCGCGGGCGCGTTTCGCCCAGGTGATGCGCAGGTAGGCTTGGACGTTGTTCTGCAGCTCGCCAGTGGCCGCGTCCAGGTCATTGTCAGCACTAACCCGACGTGGAAGTATTCCACGGGTGAGTCACCGTGTCGGGCGCCGGACTGTCTCGTCTACTCTTGTGGTGCGGATGGATGCACGCGCCTCGCTTCCGTGACGGCGGCCTTGGCCATGGGTCACCACGACCGAACCTATGAGAATGTCTCTGTCGCGCTTGGCGAGCCGGCCAGCCAGTATGCCAGCCCGCTCAACGCGACCATCAGCCTGCCATGTACGGAATTTGACTTTTATCACAAGAAGTTGTATTTTGCGCTGGTTCCCGAGACGCAAACATGCAGCAACGTCATGCACCTGGCACCAAGCACGACGCGCGACTTGCGGTGCGCACGGTGTGTGGACTGCGAACTTCCATGTAGTCCCGGCTACTTTCTGGATCCAGCCGAGCAGGGCGACTACCTGTGCCGACCATGTGCATGCAATGGGCACGGCGATTCGTGCAACGTCAAGACGGGTGGCAACTGTGGCGTGCAGAGTCAGGGCTGCCAGCAGACGGGCTTGGGCTGCCAGTGCGCACACAATACGCAGTCGGTTCCGGTCAATGGCCTCCCCGTGTACGCATACCAGTGCAACGCCTGTGTGGGATCATCACAGCTTCGAGACAACGTCTACCAGGGTACCCCAGAGAATGGACGCCGCTGTTATCGCGTGACGAGCGTGGAGAGCGTGGTGACGCCGACTCTATCTTCGGCAAGCACCGATGCCCGCTTTGAGTTTTATGCCTTTAGTACCACCAAGTACACCAACGTGGATTTGCGCTTGGCGGTACTGGTTTGGAGCGGGGAGGTGCGCGTTGTGGTGACCCTGGATACCTCACCAGTTGTCAACGACACGGTTTGGCTGTCCAATGCCGACAATCAATCGCGCCGTCGGCGCGCAGGGGAGGGGAATGGCTCGAGTGATGAATTGCTGCAGATCAACACCACGGCTGTGGTGGCAGACGCGCGTGTAACGGCGGGGCGCCGCCTGTTTTTGCTGCGGCACGAGGATTATGCCTTTTCTGATGCGTTTCGAGTCTTCGTGGTACTTGAGGCTGTGTCCGCACAGGCAGAGGTGATGATGTATAGCGAGCAAAACCTCACCTCGATTAACTTAGTGGTGTTTTTTGCCAACTTTTTCACCATTCTTTTTCTCTGTGTGGGACTCGGGGCCATTGCGTTTGTTGCGCGGCGGCGCTACCAGCAGTGGAGTTCGAACCGCGAGCAGCAGCTGGAGCTGGAGCAGATGTCTCGGCGACCATGGGGGCGTATTCGTTTAGTCCTGCGCGAGGACATTCCGCCCGACGTGATGCAGCGGTTGCTCTTTCGACCCCGGCCCATGCCTCGCGCGTTACGAACATGGTGCTTACCTACCCCAATCGCTGAGCAGCCTTTGGTTGACAGTACCATCGGAGGCATGGTGGCGACCTACATGGTCGAGCTACCAGGAGGCATGGTGCCCAGCCGCCTCACGCTGGGCGTTTCGCTTGTGGCTGCCCAAGCGCATACACGGCGTCGCCGCCGGGGCACTGGCGGCGGGCGGCATTCTAGCTCGGTCGCCACCTCAGCCCTGTAAACCAGCTTTGCGTGCTTTTGCATGGCCACCCAGGCCTTCATCTTGGCTGCAAGGGTGCGTTTGAGATTTTGATAATATTCTCAGTTTGTTCGTTTGTCTGTTTGCTTGTTTGTTCGAAAGTCTGTGCATTTTTTTGGTTGATTTTGGTTCGTTCTGATTGTGAAAAGAGAATCCTGCACGTTGCAACGCTGAGCGTTGCTCAGGGCCAAGCTGGCTCGAGGTCCTGTATTGGAGTGAAATAAGAAAAAGATGACGGTGATTCTTGTCACACGGTTCTTGACATGTGAATTCAAATTAAATGAATGGAAATACCTTGTTGGTTTACATGTACATGTTAAAATGTAATTATTTTTTTTTTTTTTCCACAAGTCGCGGCGCATGCGTGAATGCTGTCGATGGACGAGTAGGTTGGCTCAAGGAAGATGCAGTGGTGAATGAATGAATTACATGGGCCTGCATTTTTTTTTATTTCATTTCTTCGTTACATGTATGTACCTGGAAAACAACGGTTCAAGCTATCCAAGCCGGAGCAGGAAAGCAAAATGGGCAGTACGGCGTGTCTCAACGAAAGGAGCCCGTTTCGGCAACGCGGGCCGTGCCAGTCCGCATCTCCACGGGAGGTCCCCGTACCAAGTCGGGATTGAAGTGCGTGGGGCCGCCACGGCCAGGAAACCCGGTCAGAGGCATTTCACCCGGTGCGGCACGGGCTGGATCCACGGGGCGAGCTGTGGGCGCGGGTGTTGTGACTGCAACCCCAACAGGTGTGCTCTGACCAGAGCCAGCTTCAAACGGCAGCAGTGAGCCAAAAAAGAAGTGTTGGATCACGGGAAACTTGTGCAAAACTTCATCCTTGTACATTTTGAACAAGCCCTTGTAAACCTGCGGTGCAGCGCGGACCGAAGGTTGAGAGGCAAGGATGCGCGGGCGAGAATACACACCCACCTGCACAGACACACACCTTGGACCATGAGGCGGCACCACTCATGTCAAAGAGAAAGCGCGAGTGCTCATGGAAAGGACCTGTCTTTGTCTACAACCGATGCATGGGTGAAATGTGTGAGTGTCCCGCGCCGCAATCTCAGGCAGCCATGCCAAGGTGTAATGGTGGGAAAAACAGGACAGCTGGGGTCATGCTCCAACCCGGTGAATAAAGGCCAGCGCAGCAAAAAAAAGGTTGGCTTCGCCGTGTGCCTTGGCCGCCTTTTCATCCGGGATGGCCTTGGGCGTAACCATGTCGTCCTGGCCTACCAGTGGGCGGAAAGATGGTGGCCATTAGTACTTAGCGCGCAAAATCCGGGGCAGGTTTGAAGGGAGCGCAGCCAAGTCGTACCAACGAGTTGGGCAGCACCCCAATAATAGCACAGAAATTGAAAGTCATCAAGACCCCAAACGCCATGGCTGCCGGCAGGCTCAAGGTTGTATGTCGTCTGAATTCGTCGCACCAACGCCAAGTACCTACGAACAACAAGCACCGGATCAGGAAGGAGGAGGAACTTGATGGCACGACTTTCTGGCGATTGGATGAACAGAGGGCCTCGGGGCGAACCGATTAAAGGCAACGAGGCAGAGTCCTCGTCCATCCTGAGGCGTTACCACGCGAAGAAGCGCAAGGCAGCAGAGAAATGCGACGAAATTCAACTCGTGGCCTGGATGTGCACGCCAAAGTCAGCAGATGAGCTAGGAAGTATGTGGGCAACCAAGAAAAAAAGACGGATACACACCGCTGCCATAGTCGATGCGTGTGGCGTTGCCAAAGCTCTCCGACAAGTACAGAGAAAGCTCTTCAACGTGCCCCTGGTTGGCGGCGCCCACGATGGAATCTACCAACTCGGGCACAAGCTAACGACCAATCGAGTGTCACTGACACCACTACCCCAGATAACAGGCATCGACCGTGCTAGCAAAGAGAACAGCCCTGGGCGACTGAAGCATACCTCTTTCATCTTGGCGAACCAATCCTTAAAGGCGGGATTGCCGAAACGGGCTCGCTGCTCCGCCGGCGGCGTCTCGTCGATGAGGGCATTCAAGCGCTCAATGGCCTGCACAATGCGTTGGACAGCCTGATGCAGTTCCGTCAAGCAAAGGTCAAGCGGAACGAGAAAGAGGTCGGGACGTATTGGCAGAGGTGAGCGCACAGCTCGCAGGCAAGGAGCAACCGCCTAACCTCGGAGCCAGGCCCAACATCCTGGATAGTGCTGCCTTCAACATCGTGAGCCAGCGTCTGCACAAACGAAACCAGCTTCTTGTAAGCCGACGTCGACTTGAAGCGCTCGACGTCGTCGGGCGATGAAATCCGCTTCTCAGGCCTGTGAGTACACACGCACATGCATGAGCCTTCCACCGAGCGATGCCCCCCCTTGATATTGCTCAAAAATGTATCCCTTCTGCTCGTCGGCAAGCATCGCCACTGCCTGACTCTGCCCCAGGCGGCGCTGCCGTTTTTTTCGCGTGCGCGCGTCACTTACAACATTGCGGCGGCGGTCCAGGAGCAATGTAAGTAAAATACTTGCTCACTGATGGGCTGGTTTATCTGACAATACGTCTGGCTTGGAACAGCTGTTGCTTATGGAGCTTTGCAACGACAGGAGCGGGCAGCGTTCACTCCACTCATCAACCTCACAACGTAAAAGCAATAACGTAGATAGTTGCTGCATAAATCGTCACGAGCTGTCGCATAAAATCTGCATTAATATAAATACGTACTGCATAAACCATCACGCAGCTCGAACCTACCAAAGTCCTACTGGAGTTTGATCCTCGGCAAAAACGGCAGCGCCTCTCTCCAAGTTAAACGACGCCCGTGGTGGTCAGCGCGCGCGGCGTATCCCTTCTCCTGTATCCCTTCCCCACTTCCCCACTGCCAGTTACAGTTGCGTGGCCTGGCAATTAATTTTTCAGAGGGCACAGATGGCTGCGATGACGATGCAGTTGATTTACGAGCCACGTGCCACGGGTCTTGTTATGGAAAGTGCTGTTGAGATCAAACAAGACGGACGTGGGCTAACCCGCCCAGCGCTCCAAACGCCCCACCGACACACGACGAAGCAGCCACGTCTCGTCTGTTCAATGCACCATGCAATTACATGCACCACGCCTTAAAGGCCAAGACACGCACAGTTCGATCGCACCCGAGTCCAAGTGCGCATTTCGCTTTGATTTCACGCATGACATACGTATCGCAAACGTTGCCTGGTGGTTGCAAAGCGCCAAGCTCCTCTTGCCGTCGTCGGGGTCTGGGTGGCAGTTTTTATCGGCTCTGTACGGGCTACACATGCACGACACAACACGCTGGGACCGCCTGGAAAGACAACCGCGTTGTACCTTTGCGATCTCACGAGGCTGCCATGGAACAAGCCACAGTGCAGCGGGCTGCCCAGGCCATGCGTGGGCAGCCACGGGTGGCCGTGATCGGCGCCAGTCTGGCTGGTCTCTCCTTTTCGGCCATCCTAGCGCACCAAGCCCCGCATATCCACGTCTCCGTCTTTGAGCGAGCATCCCGCACCCGTGACGAGGGCTACGGCATCGACCTTGATGAAGATGGCATGGTTGGTCCCTGTCCCCACGGGGATTGTTGCCCACTCCACCCGGCTTTAATCTTGCTTTCTCCGTCCAACGCACTTTTGCCCTCACAGGACCCCTGCCTGCCTCGTTACCTGTGACTACACCCTTAGGCCGCGGTCAAGGCCGCCAACTTGTTGGACAAGTACCCAGAGACTACCCACAACAAGAGCGACGTAACTAAAATGTACAGCGCCACCTCCAAAGACCCCATTTTCGTCATGTTCATGCCCAGCCTGTTGCTCCGCCTTGGCGTCAAACCTGGACTCGAGAGCAACCGCCAGGCTCTTCTCGACATGTTCCGTGCCAGCATCAGCTCTGACATCCACTACGATACGCACATCACCAACATCGTGCCAAGCCAGTCCCGGCCCGGTGGTGCCACTCTTCTCGGCCCCAGTGGGACACCGCTGGGAGATTTTGACCTGGTTGTGGATGCGGGAGGTGTCCGCAGCCCGGTGCGCCTGCTACGCCTGACAGATCCTGTGGGTCTGCATTTTGACAAAGACCTTCTCTTCCATGGCCAGATTGCCGACCCCGAGACGAGCCTGCCGCCAGAGGCCTTGGCCCGTTTGGGTGATGGCAACGCTTTTTACTTTACCAGGTTTTTCGAAATGGCTGTCCAGCGCTATGGGTGTGGCGATGACCCTCGTGCAGCATTATTCTTTCGCGTACGCACCGACAGTGCGGATGTGGATGAGACCTTTGCCGAGATTGGCGTGCCCCGCCGTGGTCCTGCCTTTCACAATCGCGGCTCGGCCGAGTTTGAGACGCTGCGCAAATTTATGCGTCAAGCCGCTGGTGAACATGCACATCCAGCCATTTTATCTACCATTGACGCCCTCGACCGCGTTGCTGTTCGCGGCCTCTACAACCACGGCTCTGATGTTCAACTGCGATCCGACAACACTCTGCCGTTGGTCTGCATCGGGGATGCGGTGCGCAACATTGGCCTGGGTGGTGGTGGTAACGTTGCCATGCGTGATGCGCGTGAGCTTGCCGAGCTTCTTGCCCAGCCGACCGCCTTTGACCCCACCACGCACGCGCTGGCACTCCGCGGCCCAAACAACGCGCTGCTTAAGCTTGAAGAAACCATGTTACAGCGCCATCTGGACTTTGTCAAGCTTCGTGATTCTCGCCGCGGCACAGAAGTTGGACCTCCGCCCCCCGGCGCTGATCTCGAGAAGGACCTCGGCGCCACCTTTGGGCGCCCCCTGGCTTTTGTACTCAAGACACTCGGTTTTGTCTCGCGCTTTTTATGGGCGCTCGACGGGAAGCGGTGAGCCCACGACTAAAGTCAAGCAGTTATCAGATGTAATTCTGAAGCAAAACAAAAAATTTCAGTGTGCACGTTTGAGTTGGAGTGGCACACAGAGGCAAATGGCGCCTCATTGCATTGATCGTTCATCCCGTTTGTTTATTATTGGCCTTCTTGAAGAAGATAGTCCACCCCTGAAATTGATTCTGGTAACAGTTGACACGTGCACAGACAGAACCTGGCGTGATATGACATAGGTTGATCGATTAAAAGGAAAGCATAGACACATTTAAAGCTCAGTCGAGCGCGGGTTGGACGAATCAGGTGGCACCCAACAGGCAAAAGGGGCTGGCAGCGGCTAACCGCCATGGGAAATGCTTTTCTCCCCCTGCCTTTCAATGTGGGGGAATGATGCGCAGCATCGAGCATACCAGAGACCATTTCACGCCCACCAATTCTCACGAAGAAGTCGTGACATGGGATGACGGGAGACGGCGCAAAGGGCGCAGGGTCGAATCCTGTGTAGAGGCCGAGCGAACCACTGTCCGACGAGCACCCGGGCGAGTACGCGGGGCCGACGGTGCTCGAGCATCCAATGGGCCGCGTGGAGGTGGCCGTGGGAGTTGCTTGTGATTTTCAGAAGTAGGGCGCATAGGTAATTGGCGATCGAGGGCGGCGCCCAAAGGGGGTGGACGAGACACTCGAGGCAAACTGGCAGGGGCCGCCAATGGCAAGGGTAGCGGTGCCTTGGACATGGGTGGGGGAAGCGGGTCACTACTCGCAGCGGTGGCGGACGGCAAATTGGGGCTGGCAGACAAAGCAGCACGAGTGGTAGCACTCTCGTGAACAAATTTGTGCTCCAAACGTTTCCGGGCCTCGCGTAGCTCCTGCAACGACGGCTGATAGACATTGGATGCAGCCAATAGCTCATGCCTATGACATGGAAACCCGGTGCAACGGCTGTCGTGAGCATTGTGGTGCTCCCAAACAGCCCGAGTTGTTGCAAACGACGACGCACCGGTGATCAGCCTCGCCATCAAGGCAGTTGCGCAGAAACTCTGAATCCTCTTTAAGACCATCGACTTCCTTGCGCAGAGCCTGATCAAGTTGAGCAATGGGCAAGAAAGAGAGGTGTGCAATGCAGGCAGGTGAATAAAAGGGGCAGGCGCCAAGGAGGAAACGTAAGCACTGGTCAAAAGCAAACCTGTCGAAGCGCCTCGAGCGTAGCACCCCGGCGATCCAAATCAACCTGTGCACGGTCGGACAAGCCGTAAACGAAGGTGGCTAAAATGAGACTGTTCACGGCAGGCCCACATGGTGCCAATGTTGCTGAGAAACCCGGGTGATTGAGAAAAAGGCTACGCACCGCCGAGGTCAGCGTTACCGGGTGATCACGACAATGGTCAGCTGACAAGCCACGTAAAGGTAGAGTACCATCGCCACTCCCAGGGCGGGCCGTCTGAGGCCGCTGAGTCTTGGCCGGGCTACTATGCGGCCGTGCACTACCCTGGGTGTTAGTAGTGCGGAGCGCGTAGGCCACGACTTGATCCTCGTCCAAAGAATCATTCAAACTTCGTGACCAATGCCAACGCAGGTAGCGGGCAGGGGAGCGCCACGAACAAGGGGGTTAGAACAGAGAAGCAAGGGTCGGCGCACAGGCAGCATGACGATTGACGCGTAATATTGAAACATCAAGAGCGCAACTCACCTGGTTTGTCGCAATTGCTCAGCAAGAAACTTGAGCTCCTGTGTAAGACGATCCCGAACCATGGGCGGCTCGGGCAGGCATGCAGTTTCTGATTGCATTGAGCACGCAGCAAGAGTGAGCAAGATGCTCGTCGCTCTGGAAGAAAAGGAGCGGCCGCCCATGCTTCAGCACAGGCAGCGCAGCGTAGTCAATCGACGATAAGCACGCACCGGTATTGATGTGAGGTTGCGTCAGCGTGTCAGTTTCCGAACGATATTCTTGCCAAATTTCCAAGAGCATGCGGACTTCTTGCTGCACCATTTCCAGCTCGTCGATCAAGGCCCGGCCAATTTGAGCGCGCAGCTACAGACATGGAGAAGAGCCCACAAGCAAGTCCAGAGCAGTGAGTGGGCACGCACACGAGCGACCGGACCCTGCTCTGAGCAACGCAGACTCGTCCACCGCCTGGTTATTTGGAACGGTCACCCTATTTCACTCCCCAGCCCCCACCATTCCCACGTCATACGGTCATACGCCATCCCTGGCCTTTTTGCACCCACCTCTTCATGCTCCGACGGTGGCAGTGCCTCCAACAGGGCCTCCCATTGGCTGGTCGGCCCTCGCGGCGCCGCCATTCTCTCGTTAATTCTCTCTCTCTCTCTCTCTCTCTCTCTCTCTCTCTCTCTCTCTCTCTCTCTCTCTCTCTCTCTCTCTCTCTCTCTCTCTCTCTCTCTCTCTCTCTCTCTCTCTCTCTCTCTCTCTCACAAAAAAAAAATTTCGAGTTCCATTTTTTTTTTGTGTGTGTGTGTGTGTGTGTGTGGTGTTGACAACCAATTTTTTCTTGGAAGTTACGATATCGTCACTGCATTCGTCTCTGTGACTGTCAAGTTGCCGGAGATCCGAGAACAAATTCTTGCATTCCGTAACTGTCAATTGCTGCTGCGACGACTGCTGGTGGTACAGCTCCTGTTGATGCGTTTGTTGCCGCTGCTGGTGTTGCTATACATGGTGGTCGTCTGGCTGTAGTTGGTGCAGCAATTGTACTCTTTTTCTCTTTTCGTGTTTCTAACAGATTGGGTATCGCAACGACCAATTCGCTACGAGTCGCCGGGTTTCCAACCGGCTGGTTGATAGTCGCCACTCTCTGAGAAAGGGCCTGCACGCGGCACAGGGAAATAGCCAACAAGGAAACGAGGATGCAACAAACACGCCAGCGTCAGTCACTGCCAGTTCAATATCACGCTCATATGAGCATATAATGAGGCAGATGCCCAGTGGCGAATGCCAAAATTGCATAGTGGCCGTACTCTGCTTGGGCGGAACTGGGCGTTTGCTTGACGGTTGTGCGGCATGACCCGTGGCTGTGCATGACCAAAAACAGGACAGTGAGCAAGGTGACCAACGCAGCAAAGTAGAGCCTCAACCACACCGACACGAAGCGGTCTTGGCCTGAGGAACCGACCTTCGACGCGAACACTGGGTCCCGCCGCCAATCGGCGCTTTTCCTACAAATTAGCAATCGTCAGGCAGCAAAGTAGCCCCCTTTATCGTCATGTCCCCTCCTCTCCCGGCGCTCTACTACGCAGACTCTGATGGCACGAGCACAGACCTCGGCGTCTGCCAGCTCTTGGGCACGCTGCAGTGTGCGCGCCGTGATCATCCGGTTGCGATTAATTTCTTCATCGGTGGGTGGCTCTGCCCGGCGATGCGACAGCCAAGCTACACATTGGGGACCGCATGAGACCTGAGGACAGGCAGCAAAAGCTCGAGGAGAAAACAACCCTGTGGTGACGGTGACAGCCACGCACCAGACCATTCCGCAGGCACGGCGTCAGGGTCGTAATCGTCCTCACGACCCGGCGTCTCAACAACTCGGGTCGTGCGCTCTGCAAGTTTGACAATGTAGTACTTGTTGCCATTGCCGTCGGCCCCCACCAGCTGCCGAGCGCTGCCAAACGCTGCCGGCAGTTTGGACAACCACCGGAACATCCTCGTCTATTCGCCACTTGACACAAAAGCACCCTCCTACCCCTCAAAACCAAGCCACCAGCCACCAACAACCAGCCACCAACACGAGATGAGTGAGCAAAATGAGAGAGAGAGAGAGAGAGAGAGAGAGAGAGAGAGAGAGAGAGAGAGAGAGAGAGAGAGAGAGAGAGAGAGAGAGAGAGAGAGAGAGAGAGAGAGAGAGAGAGAGAGAGAGAGAGAGAAGTCTCCACCACACACTCTCTCTCCGCAGACACAATTTGTCTGACATTTTGCCTGCCTCGTGTCGCTGCGCTTTTTTTTTTTTGAACAGGACGCGCGGATGAATGAACTGCAGACGAGTGCAGCTGGCTGATGGCGGAAAGGGGGCAGAGTCCATCTTGAGCGGCGATCAAGATCAAGCACGACACCTTTTTTTATCTTTCAAAGGGGTGTCTTTTTTAGGGTTTTGTGGCTCGGTTTCGACCAGTACGGCTCACTGCCACGTTTGACGAGGCAGATAGAGGGCAAGGCACCGTGAGGGCCAGTCATCTCGCTGCTGAACGACCAGGCTCTCTTCAAAGTCGCAGACATGGCGTTTGCACAGTTGATCATTGGCCCGCCCGGGACGGGCAAGACCACATATGCGCAGCAGCTGCGAGAATTTCTCGGATCCCTCGGTCGTGATGTGCTGCTCGTCAACCTGGACCCCTCATGCGACGACGAGCGCGCAACCGCCAACGCATTTGATGTGGACATTCGCGATCTCATCTCCGCAAGGGAGGTTATGGAGCGCCTGGAGCTGGGTCCCAACGGTGGCCTCATGTTTTGCATGGAATACTTGCACGAGCACCTGGACTGGCTCGAAGAGCGCGTCAAGGCCGTGGACCGCCCATACATTCTCTTTGACTGTCCCGGCCAGGTCGAACTCTATACACACCACTCTGCCATGCGTGACTTTCTTCACACCCTTCAGCACAAGTGGCACTTTCGAGTTTGCACCGTCAACCTCATTGACTCGTACATGTGCAGCGACGCGGGTAACTTTATTGCTGCCCTCCTGGCCTCCCTTTCCATGATGGTTCAGCTCGAAACTCCCCACGTCAACGTCCTCTCCAAAGTGGACTTGGTCGAAGCTTACGGCCGCTTGGATTTCAACCTCGAATTTTACACCGACGTGCTCGATTTGCGGTACCTGCTAGACCGCCTACCGACCTCGCCACTTTTTGAACGCCATCGCGCCTTTAACGCGGCGCTGTGCGACCTTGTGGAAGACTTTAGCCTTGTACAGTTTTACACCCTCTGCATCGACAACAAGGAGCTGCTCTGGAACCTGACCCGCGCCGTGGATAAGGCTCTGGGCTACCTCTACACCTCGCAAGAGCAGGGACGCATCGACATGGAAACGGCCGTCTTCTCCAGCCAGGGCCCACGCAATACGACCTCCGGCTTCTTGGCCCAGGACGAGTACGGACAACCCGACGACGACAATATTGCCGACCTTCTTCAGCAGCTTCAGGCCTCCACCTTGAAGTGAGGAGGAGCTTGAGGAATGGCATGGCAGGGCTCTCACAGGCTCATGCAAACGGCATTGCTGTTGCAGAGCATTGTTCGTATCAATGCACCGCTGCGCGGTGCCATCGTCTGCACAGAGATATCTCCCCATGGGCCCAACACCCAAGATCCTCTGCTCCTCAACCCGCCAGATATGAAAAATTAAGCATGCTTGGCTCTTCAATGCCCCTCGCAAACACTTGCCTGCCCCTCTGCACGCGTTTCATATGAAGTATGTCTTAGCTTCAATTTCAGCTTGCATTCTTCGGATGATCATCTCGCAAAAGCTCTGTGATATCTTGTTGCTTTTTGAGCACGCCATCGACGAATTCATGACGCTTGTGCGGTGATCGATAATATATCACAAGTGCAACAAAGCCAGGCATCGCCCACGCAGTGAAGGGCCCAACATAGTCATACAAATTTTGACGGTCTTCATGTGCGGCAAAACCAATGGCGACGCACAGACCAACGACGAAAACTGCGGCCGCACGAAGCCAAGCTCGAACCTGGAGCTTATGTCGTTCATTTTCCTCGTCACGCTCGGTATCTGTCACCTTCTATCAAACCAGCCAAAGTCTTAATGACATTTTCATTGAGCTTGGTTGAAAGAAACATGTAGCTCACCTTACACGCCTTGCCCAACTCGCCCAAAGCCTGCTTCGAGAAGTAATCCACGTCTTCTGCAGCTTTTGTAAGTTTGAAAGGCAGATTAACTTTGTTGGAGTTCAGATGCGATGCGGTTGCAGCCAACAGTAATACCTCCATCGACATGGTGGGATATTTTATTTCGACAAAGCCTAAAGGAGCGATTTTGTTTCTCGTGGTTCCTCCAATGTCGTCATTCGGCAGGGCTCGCTCCTTCTCGTTCATCAGTAGAACCTGATTTTGTTGCGTTTTGACGCGGTCGAGCTTCTGAAGTGCCTTCTTGTGAAGAAAGGGGGCATCCTTCAGCTTATTAGCGCACTTATGCTGCCATTGACTTTGTTGATCGCACGCTTCACGAGACACTTGCCAACATTGCTCAATTACCGAGCTCACCTTCGCAGCCAGACGCAACATGGCGTCTGGCAGCAGAGTCGAACTTTCCAAGGCTTGATAACAAGACAAACCAGCTCTCAAGCTGGTTTGGACAATTTTGACGCGTCCATCTGCATCACTAACTTGCGCAATTGCTTCTTCATGCAGAGTCGTCCAAGCTTTTTCCAACTGTAAATAATGTTTTTTTACCAAGCCAGGACAAGCAGGTCTGGCTGCTTGATGGTTGGTCTTGACAGCTTTGTTGATAGCTTTCAACCTCTGTATCTGCGATTCCACCGTCACCTGGGTTCGAAAGGAGTCTTCTCGTAGCCTCTGGACGGTGGTGCTGGCAGCTAATAGCTGTTCAGCCCGCTCTTTGACGAGCTGCTTCAAAGTGGCAATGGCTTCTGCTTGCAATCGATGACTTCTGAAATGAGAAGAAGCTGAATAAAGCGTCTCATGTAGCGTTTGAAGTGGCTGCATCAGTGTGATCTTTTGCACATCCTGTAGTGAACTGCATGTTGCCAGAAGTTCGATGGCCTTGCCCAAAGTTTGAATGCAAGTTTGTAAATCAACAGTGTCGAAAAGAACCGTTTCACTCAAGCAAAGTGCGAGATGGTAAACAGTGGTGGAGCTAAGAGAAAGGGGCTTCATATCCATAGCCACCCCATACTTTTCTCGAAGATTACCAGAAAGCATCGAAACCTGCTCAGTCAGGGTCCCTTCCGTCGAGACCTCAGTTACGTCGCGGATGGCGGTAATAAGACTTTTCACAGCATCGGTGATGTTGAGAATCTGAGTTGTTCGATCACTCGGAGCCGGCAGATCCTTCTGACGAGCTCGATGCCAGTAGCAATCAAATGCAGATCGGGGAGCAGGATCTTCATCATCTTCAACTGCGCCATGCTTCAGGAGCTCATCTGCGTCATGGCGCAGTTGGTCTGCCAGATCGCAAAGCGTTTTCAACGAGCTCATTCTCCAAATCTTCACCAAATTCACAATGTCAAGAATTTAATTGTGTCTTGTTTACATGACATTGTTGTTAACTGATGTTCCAGGCTTTTTTTTTTTTTTTTTCTTGGTTGATTGAACAAAAACACCATGGTGGACGGTACCATTCAAGAGCTCAAGCGCACCCCGGCAAAAACATTCTGGGACGCTGATCGCCTGCGCCCCTACGGAACGCTTCAGCGTGACCCCTCCACAGATAAAAAATGGACCCTCGGGCCATTTGAGCTCGAAGAAGACTCAGATGAGACGACCCCAACAAAATTGGTGTTGCGCGCCAAGTTGAGTCCCACGAAGCACATCAAGGTTATTGTGGCCGAAGCAAAGACGGCGCTGACAGACCATGCGTTGGGGCAGGGCATTCGCCACATTTGCCCCGTTTATCAGGGTAAGCCAGGCGAACTTGAACTTCAGGGTTCGTTGTACATCTTTGCAGGAGGCCGATGAGTGCAGAAGAATTTTCTTTGAGGGCCACCTTTCTGTGAGTATAATTAGCTGTCACGATGTGTTTCCCCACTGGCCCTTGGGCGCAACAAGGTGCAAAGCAAGCTTGAATGTACATAGATATCAGCGTGTGTGCGCCAATATGTCCCCCACCTGCTCCGTGTGTTTGCAGGGCTCGCAGGTCGTGCTGATCTTCCCCATTGACTGGGTAAAATTGATCTGGATGCGCAAATCAAGCTTGTCACGTACACACCTTGATTGCCATGGCAGCCATGTTGAGTCACACCTGCATCGACCCCCAAGCGAGACAAAGCAGCATGCATTGCAATGACCATGGCACTGTCAGAGGTTGACGTCCAAACTGTGCACTGCTGCAGTGTCAAAGCCATATGCACCAGCTGCTCAGAGGCTTTTCCTCAAGAGCCCAACACACACACACACACGCACACACATACACACACACACTGCCATAAACCCCAGGAACGAGTGAACGTTGCTGGTGCTGGCTCTCTCTTGATGATACTTGCTTGGTTCCTCCACACTTATTGATTGCCTTAGCTCGTACATGCATGGGTACCGTGTTGGATAGCAGCGAGCTGGTGTGATGTCAAAGCACATGCTCCATTCCATGGCCAGTGTACTCAACTACGAAAACCACACCGACTGATGCCATTTTTAACGAGTCATGCCGCCTGTTGCTCCGGTTATGTATGCATGTAGCGTGGCGAACCGGACATGCCGAGTTTCTGCAGGCAATGCATCGCGAAGACACGGCTGGGCTGTTTGGCAAGGAGGTCCTGCTCAGTGTTGCGTCCGGCCCTCTCATTTGACATGATATGCAGGGTATTCCCAATGGGTTGGGGGGCAGACGAAAGACTACAGGCAACTGTGAACAGCAATCAATTCGGTTCTCGAGACGGCGAGATCAGCCACAGTTTTTCAAGTCGACAAATACACCAAGTAACAGACAGAACGACGCAGAAGCCACACCCACACATGTTGAGGATGACTTGCAACCAACATTTCTGCTGGCCTCGCCTAGCACCACGATGCGCGCTCGAGGCCAGCAGGAATGTTGGTGGCAGCTTTTTGCAAGCTAGTGTGATAGAATCATGTTGCCACGAGCAAACGTCGAGGCCCTTTCTGATGCTCACTTACTGTCCTTGAAGATGAACAACAAGCCTTGCAAAAACAGCGCATCTGCCGAGCCCTGGTATACGGGGCAAATGTAGCGGATGCCATGCTGCAAGGCCTGGTCAGCCAGCTCTTCCGCTGCCTCTGCCACAATGATTTTGATGTGCTCTCCGTCTCGCCCCTCAGAGTGCAGCACCAGTTTGGTCTCGTTCGACTCTGTTGCGACTTCCTCAAACTCCGTCAGGCCCAGCTGCCATGTGTTTTTGGAGGCGTCGTATCGAAGCGTTTCGAATGGGATCTGGCGGTTAGCGTCCCGAAACGTCTTTGTTGGGCGAGTTCGCAGCGTTGGAAAGTTGTTGGCCGCCATCTCAACGCGTGTCAAGGGTAAAATGCTATCATGTAGAAAGACACCCAGACCGATGGATTGATGGTGTGAGTTCTGGAAATAGAAACGTGTGGCTTCGCCGTCCAGTCGTCGGTGGCTTTTTTTTTTTTTCAGAACAGATGTTTTGTTTTTTAGACTTGGGACAGCGTTATGGTGGACGAGACCATTCCAGAGCTCAAGCACACCCCGGCAAAGACATACTGGGACGCTGATCGCCTGCGCCCATGTGGAACCCTTCGGTATAACTCCCGCACAAAAACATGGGAGTGGGGGCCGTTTGAGCTCAAAGAAGACCCAAATGAGACGACCCCAACAAGCTTGGTGCTGCGCGGCAAAACACAGCACGGCAAGCACATCAAGGTTATAGTGGCCGAGGCAAAGACGTCGCTGACAGACCATGCGTTGCGGCATGGCATTCGCCACATTTGCCCCGTTTATCAAGGCCCCTCAAACGAACTTGAACTTCAGGGTTCATTATACATCTTTGCAGATGGCCAATAAGCCCATAAGAGCGCCTTTTTCCTGTGAGTATAGCTGCCACAATGTGTTTCCCCACTGGGGCGCAACAAGGCGTAAACCAAGCTTGAATGTACATCCGGATATGTGTGTGCCATTGTCTCTCTCCCCGTTTGCTTCGTATGTTTCAGGGCGTGCTGATCACAGGGTATAATTGATCTGTGGGATGCTCAAAGCAAGCTTGCCACGCACACATCTTGATCGCAATCATATTTAGTCTCACCGGCATGCATCAACCCTCAGCGCAAGACAAAACAAAATGCATTGCAGTGGCCGTTGACACGCGCTGTCAGAACCTTGCCCAGCGTATTTTTCAGCAGATTGGCTCCAGAATGCCTGAACGTTGATTATGTTTCTCGTGCATGCATCTCTTCCCTGGCATCTTTGTTGACTCTACGACAACAATGGTCCCTTGCAATCACTTGCGCACTCGGGTTCCAACGAAGGCAAGGTATAAAGAAGCCAGCAGCAATCGGCACGATGAAAATCAAGCGCCAAGCTCGGATCACCAGCACCAATAATCATCTCAAGTGTCGAATGGTATGTTTACAGGCTCGCCACATTCAACAAAGGGCGCGGGCGTCATGGGCAAGGCCATGAAAGCCATCACTTATAGCAAAGAATGAATGAGATCCGGCCAGAGCACTGCAAGCACACCAAATCAGCAACAGCAAGAGCATTGGTCTGGTTATTGGCAACGTTTTTAGTCTCAAAGAGAGCTATCAGAACCAGCAGAGAACACCAGTAAGGTCACGTTGACCTCGCGCCAGCGTATGTTATCTCGTATCTCACCTTGTTGGTGTCAAGCTCTCCGGCATCTGGATGGGAGCACGGACTTGACGCAAGCAGTTGGTCTTGCTCAAAAGCCGTCAATGAAAACTTCCTGGCCGTGTTCAAGTGGCCCCTGCTTGTGCAGCTGCCTTTGCACACGAAGGGAGCTCCACCTCCAAGTCCAGCTCCTTTGCGGTTGCAGCCAATGACCAAAACCCTGAATCGAATTGGTGGGAAGCAGTTGCAAATCCAAATCCATGTGCTGTTGTTCAACGTGTTGATCTCAAGTTTTGGTTTCTCACGCCATTCAAGTTCCAACGAGTTCCATGGGCAAAAGGCCTGTGCTTCAGCCCCTTGGTTGTACTTTTGAAATACGTCCCGATGTGACCGAGCTCAAACCCGCGAACAGCGACTTCGTAAGGTGTCATTTGCCTTATATGGGGATTTTTTTTTTTTTTTTTTTTTTTTTTTTTTTTTTTTTTTTTTTTAATGTTTGTGTCAGGCTTCAAGATACATGCTTGAGAGCACGGGTTTGACGCTAACAGTTTGAAACAAAGCACCCAGGGCCAGAGTGGCGACAATGTTCTAGTCGTAGTATGTCGGGCTTCAGTGTCAAAAGTCTTCATTCCTAAGGAACGATCATGGCAGCTGGGGATTTTTATTGCTCATTGAAAAGTATCAGAAAACCCCAGAGGATAAACATCTGAGCAACTGAGATTTTCGGAAAGCCTCGTTGCACACACGCCAACGCACGGCGAGTACGTAAACAATCGACACATGACACCCTTTACTGTCATTTGACTGCCCTGAACTCTATGAGATGTCGCAGCATCAGCCAGCACGACATGATGCAAATGAAACATCATGTTCAGTCATGTGTGGGCCATTGTTGCGCCCTCGTTTTTTTCACGTGTTTTTGCAAGCCTTTGGGGTTGACACACGCTCAAAGGGTCGTGTCAAGATCATGCTGTTTGTTGTAAATTCATGGGAGAGAGGTAGCCTTCAACCCTGCGTCACGGCTTATCCGAACACGAAAGGGGTGGTAGCCATACTAAAAAGAATGTGGGCGAAATGTCCCTCTGTAAGGGGAAAAAAAGCAGTCTGGGCCGCTCTTCTACTACCAAAGCCGTGCTAGCCGGGAGAGGTAGCAAAAGAAGCGAGACGACAAGCGTCAGGGAACTGCATTACTGGGAGTCTTCGAGAGCGGCGAGGTAGTGCTCAGCCTCGAGCGCACTCATGCAGCCCGTGCCAGCGGCGGTGATGGCCTGGCGGTACTTCTTGTCCTGAACGTCACCGCAGGCAAACACGCCGGGGATGGAGGTGGCTGTTGAATCGGGCTTGGTCACAATGTAGCGATCCTCGTCAAGCTCGAGCTGGCCGTTGAGGAAGGCGGAGGCAGGTTCGTGGCCAATGGCGAAAAAGATGCCGTTGGCCTCGACCTCGCGCTTCTCGCCCGTCTTCTTGTCCTCGATGATGGCGCTGGTCATGAGCTTGTCACCGCGCGCCTCAACAACCTCAGCGGAGAGCACAAACTCCACCTTGGGGTTGTTCATGGCACGGTTCTGCATAATCTTGGAGGCGCGGAGTTCATCGCGGCGATGCACAATGTACACCTTGGAAGCATATTTGGTGAGGAAGGTGGCCTCCTCCATGGCGCTATCGCCACCGCCGATGACAATGAGGGGCTTGTTGCGGTAGATGGGGGCAGCGCCATCGCAGACGGCACAGGCCGAGATGCCGCGTTGCCAAAAGGTATCGGCGCCGGGAAAGTGGAGGCGACGGGCGACGGCGCCGGTTGCCACAATGACCGTGTCGGCCGTGACGGTACGATCGCCGCTCTTAATGACAAAGGGCTTGGCGCTGAGGTCCACATCGGACACGGTCTCGGTGAAGATTTCAGTCCCAAAGCGCGCGCTCTGCGGTGGCACGTCAGCATGTGAGGAGATGGTGGGGGTGGTGAGGGTGCGAGCCCAACGAGGATGAGGATGGTGCTGCCTGGGGTGGCGGAACCTGGTCGCACCTGAGCACGGAAGCGGTCCGTAATCTCTTGACCCATGACGCCCTCGGGAAAGCCGGGAAAGTTTTCGACATCCTAAGGCAGCGCAAAACGGTGAGTCATCAAAACCAATCGTCAACCAGGATACTGCAGAAAGTGTCTGACCGTGGTGGTGGTGAGCTGGCCACCCGCGGCGACGTCGTTGGCAAGGAATCCCTCGAACATGACGGGTTTCAGCTCGGCGCGTGCCGCGTCTGGGTGCAAGCAAGGGAACGGTCAGGTTGCGAATAATTTTTTTAATGCCAAGAGGCAGTGCGGGCTTGGGGCAACGTACAGATGGCGGCCGTGTGGCCGGCGGGGCCACTGCCAATGATGCAGACCTGCAAAGGCCGAGGAGCGACGCCAAGGGCGCGATGGGTGAGGTCTGATCGTCGGCGGTGCGCGGCACACGGTAATATCGGGTGACACAAGAGGATGTTGGTCCAGGCAGCCGACCGACCTTGGTGTGAAGGGGCTCAGCCATTGTGGATTGAGGGCGAAGAACAACGGGACCAACAAGACTTCCAGCACGAAGAGCAGAGGAGACCAAGCGACGAATAGGCAGCATCACCGGTTCACCTGCCAAACGACAACAACGACGAGGTTAGGGGCAGCCCCAGCACAAGACCGGTGAGCTGTGATCCGATCCGTGCAAGGCTTTGAAGAAGATTGGGAAACGAACAAGCCCTTCAAGGCAAGCCAACACATCAAGCAGACAGACACATGCGAAGATACCGATTCATCCAGCCAAGACCAGAAGAAAAAGACACCCTCGCAGAAGTCGGCAGTAGCCGGCACACGTCGGCAGAAGTCGGCAGTAGCCGGCTGCCAGATGGCATCAAGAGGGCGGAACCGCGAGCACGCGGCACACACACACACACACACACACACACACGACTTACCCTTGAAAGGAATAACACAAAGTAAAATAAATCAAGAGATGCTTTGGTGGTGCGATGAATAGTGTAGAGAGAGCGCGAGGCTGGTGACGTGAGGAAGAGATGGGGCTTTGACGAGAGGGTGTTTCAGAGAGAAAGGGCTATCAAGAGAATTTATCTGTGGAGAATAGTATGGGAAATCAGAGGTGCAGCAGAAAAATGAATGTTAGAAGAAGGGTTAGGGGTATGAAAGAAATTTGGAGAGATGGCTCTAAATGACGTTTCACAGCGAGAGATTGCAGACCACTGAGGTTTTTCAACAAAGCATGAGCGGATATGATGGTGAATGAGCACACAATGAAACCACACACATCCACTGCTGCTGTTGATCGATCGGTCGCTCGCGCCCTCCTCTGTCTGCCTCTCGTTTCATCGCTCAAAGCCTGTTGACCATTATTGTACCCCCTTCTTCCCTCGCCTCTCAACGCCTCACCGCTCGCCTCGGGGCTCTCTTCGCGCGCGTTATCGCCGTCTCCGAGCGCTGCCGACAACGGCCGACTGGGCAGAACGCGAAACAAGTGAGGCATATCCAGCAATTTGTCTGACAATACGACAACAACGATAAAGAACCCCTCTGCTTCGAGTCAGCGAAAAAGAACATGTAGTAAAACATCAACTTATCGCAGATTTGTTAACCATAACAATGTTAAAAAATGTTGAATATATAGACTTACTGCGTTGAAAAAAGGTCAGCGTCTCAGTTGTCTGGATGACGACGGGGGTTGTGAGTCCGTGATAATGCGGCCTTGGGCAGTGACCCCGGGCCGCGCCGTGTTGGCGCTCGGGGCCTGCGTTGCCCTGGGTGCAGGCCTTGCTGTTGCGGTAATGTATTGGCAACAGCGGAGACGCAAGGGCACGGCGGAGCAGCGAGCGCTGCACCGTGGGCGTCGTCGTCGCAATTGCCCCTCCTCCCCCACCTCCACCACCTCGTTATTCTCCTTTGCAAGCGAGTCCAATCATGACGCCAAAGGCCTCAGCGATCGGTAAGCTGGCGTACAGGCGTCTCCGCACACACGTGCACCGGTGAAGTTGGCTCCTTATTTTACCCTGCTATGCTCAAAGCCTCGAACTGGCGCTGGCTGCTCTGACGCTGGCCTGAACCTTGCTGTTTGGCCCCCTCCCTTTTTAGGCACGCACACCTGGCAAGCGACGCCGTCGAGCATGCTGCGAGGCTCATTCCACGCCGTGACACGCACCAATGGGCTGCGAATGTGATCATCGCAACCAGCAGTGAGGACTCCCCGGCTGATGATAGCAGCCCAGAGCCCCTTTTTGATCTATCTGAGCTTTCGCGCGCGCGCCTCTCCCCAACTCGTATGCAGCAACGTCGCCAGCAAGCCGCGATTCGCGCGGCGCTCGTGCAGCGGCCTTCTGAACCCAAGATGCTGCGACCATCGCCTCGATCCACTCACGCAAGTCGATTGCCTCGGCACGACGATGAGCGAAGCCAGGGTTCCGCCGCCAGCCACGAGAGCACTGCCCTGACGCCCGTGCCCGTGGCTCTGGTCGCAAACATTGCCGTCCCCGCCTTGGCCGGCCCCTCGGCGGCCCCTGGGGCCGCCTCCTTGTCCAACCCCTCTGCTGCCCCCACTGTTGCCCCTGCGCCACCGGGCTCATCTGCCAGCTTGATGCTGTCTTCAGATCCCCATGCTTATGATCATGTTGAAGACACCCATCTCCACGTTCCCGGGCCTAAAACCGGTGGCAACAACTTTGAAGCTGAGGCCGCAAGGTCCGAGGCCAGCTCTATTGAGGGCGTCTCCCAAGCCTCCGGCTCGGATGCGCCCGACTCAAACGTCTTGGCCTTGAATACCACCATCCAACTCTGGATCCAGCACGTAGTAGCTAGTCTGGATGACCCCGAAACGGACGGCCAACCGACAGTACCTCTCACCAGCTTGCTGACCGACGCATTGCAGGAGTGCTGTGACACCCCTTTTGCTCCTGGAGACCCTCTCAAGGTGCTGACTGAGGCCAATTTTGATACGAAAAAGCTTCAATCATTTTTCAAGGAGAAAGAGAACCGCAAGCTCATTGCTCGTCGAGTCTGCAAGATGCTGCTGTTCAACGTGCTCACGCTCAGAAGCAAACAGGACGTGGACGGCGTGATTCGTTCCTCAGTTGGCAAATTCACCCATGCTGTCTTTGGACGACGTAAGGACCACGCCAAGGGCCTGGCTGAACGCATCGGCGTTCCCCGTCCTCAGCTTTTACAGCAAATGGAGGAGGAGCACAAATCCGTTGCACTCTTCGAGGTGGACGGCTACCAGACGAGCCCTCAGATTGAGTGGCAGATTGTGTATGGCCAACGCAAGCATATGGCCCGCGGTGACTCGAGCGACATCTACACAGTCTTCTCGCAGGCCCAGGAGCGCATGGAAGGGGCCGGTTTCGAGCCTCGCATGGCCAGCAAGACGGCCAAAGCCCTCCAGTTTGAAGAAGTGCTGGCCCTGCGCCTGTACACGGGTCCCATGTACTCACAGTACAACAAGGTCCTTCGTGAGGGCGGCCGCGGCCACGGCCAGCAACGCTACACCGCAACCATTCACTGCATTTACAGCGGTCTGCTCAAGATTGCCCGTGCCACTCGACCAACGACCACATATCGGGGCGTGGGTAATCTTGCTCTTCCGCGCCAGCTCTATGTGCCCCGCAAAAAGTCTCACGACGTGGCGGAGGGCATTGTTGAGCTCGGCTTCATGTCGTGCACCACTTCAATCAAACAAGCTCTTGCCTTTACCAAGACCTGCGATGGTAGCGGTATGAATGGCATCCTCTTGGAGTGCAAGGCTTCCTCTTTTCAGGGCGGGGCCAAGATCAGCTGGCTCTCGCAGTTTCCAAACGAGGACGAAGTGTTGTTTCCCCCATTGTGTGGCCTTGAATTAGACGGCGAGCCAAAAATGAGCGACAATCGTCTCTGCCTTTCCCTGCGTGTCTCACTCAGTACCAACAGTGATACGCTGGACCAGGTCGTGGGCAAGCGCCACTTGGTCCTCATGACCATGCTACAAGGCTTTCTCGCCGAGCTGGAGGGTGAAAACCCTGACAACCCCTCCCTCAAGGAATTTCGGGATCATATTGCCAGGGTGAACCGCGAGAAACCCGCTCTTTACAACAACGATGTTGAGTTTCTGCGGGCCGTCAACGACGCCGTCACCCTCAAGCAGGGCGTTGCCAACAAGCCTGGTGTGCTGCGACGCTTTTCTCAGAACCTGGGGCCAGTCCTTGTTTTGGCTAAACAACTGTGCACCCACACGGGCCTTGAGCCGCTCCTCCGCATTCAAAGCGATCTCGAGCAGACGGACACTCGAACGTTTGCCCAGCCGCACTTTGACCAGCAAATTCAGCTGCGATTGCGCCGCCTCCGACTGGCCCTTAGTCTGCACCCTGCTGCTTCCCAGGACTTGCAGGTTGTTGAAAATCCAATGTCAAAGTTACCCGCAGTCTTGGCCCAAAGCTTGGCTGAAACAGCGCCGGATTTGCTCGTGCACGCGGCTTTGCTGGAAACCACGCTTGAGCGACAGGACACCGGCCCCCTGACCATGCTATCTACGGACCTGCCCCAGGGATTTGACCCAGGCATCTTGGCCGTGCTGGGCGTTGCTATGGAGCGCTTTGATACGCTCCCCCTTGAACCCGTGCTCAAGGATGACCTGTTTTTGCGCTTTGCCGTGGACACCGATTTGGCAACACAAACTCACAACGTGCGCCTGCCCCCGCTCAAGACGCTTGCAGAGGCCAAACTGGCGGCTGCGATTCTTGCATGGTCGCATCGCCAGGATGCTTTGACTCACATCAAGGTGGGCGGCGTTTGCCTCCCCTTGGCCAAGCTGCAAAGCAAGACCTTTGAGGAGTGGGACTTGTCTGGCAAGAGCCTGGATCGTGTGGGTCTGTGCTTTATCCACGCGTACTGTAAGATGATGGACTTTGAGATCCACGGCCTTCTTAATGTGTGGACCAACCAGCTGGATGATGAGGCCGTCACGGAGCTTTGCAGCCTTCTCTGTTCGAGCGTGGGTCGCCATGTCACCGTGCTTGGCATGGGTAACAATCAAGTGACCGAGGCATCGGGGCAGACGCTGATGCGCATGTTGAGCCAGCGCCCTGATATGGAGATGCTGGACGTGCGTGACAACCCAGTGTGGGGTGTCGAGTGCATTAGCGAAGCCTTTGAAACCGACCTTGTGAATGCTTTGCCCTTGACGTCGCGCATCGAGTTTGGTTCCACCGGCTCGATCACTCGCCGCATCATCAAGACGTGTTTGGGCGATGTTATTCGCCTTCAGACGACGGGACACGGCGTGTCTGACTCTTAAGGTTACCCAGCGGAAGTGGAGAGCGCTTGCTCCGACAGAACCACCCACGCCTTGAGTGTGGACTCGATATATAGGATGCTTTTATGAGCCACACGTTACCATTCGAATATGATTATCATTGATACCCAAGCCGTGCCAACGTCTCGGCTTTTAGTTTGTGTAGATGCGGATTCGCGAGTGAGTGTTGATACTTGCACGTTGCTCGTATCGTTCCCCCTTTTTTTTTTTTCGTGGCGTGCTACCTTGGAGATACGTAGCCATTCAGTCCTCGCCAGAGATCCTCCCGTGTGAATTTGAGATGCGACTGCTGCTGTGTCTATTCCCATAGCATTTTATACCTTGCTTCCTAAATTGGAAATGCCTCGACCTTCCAACCTTTTTGAGCGAGAGTCAAAAGTTTGAAAAAGTATTTTACATACACACACACACACACACACACACACACACACACACACACACACACACACACACACACACACACACACACACACACACACACACACACACACACACACACACACACACACACTTATCGTATTTTTAGGAACGTGCGACGGATGAAAGCTCGACGGTCGAGGCCCTCGTGGAGTGCAGTTTAGGGGGGCGCGGGGGCGCGGGGCTTTGGTGCATCAAGTAAAGTAACTCTGCAGGCGTAGGGTTGTGTGTGTGTGTGTGTGCGTGTGTGTGTGGGAGAGGGGGACCTCGGCAAGTGTGGGCATCGCAATGGCGGCGGCGGCGGCGACGAGTGAGCAGGTCGGCCAGAGGGAAAACAAGGGTGTGCTGACGAGTTTGACGGGGCTGGGGGCGTCCGAACGGTGGTTGGAGCGCCAGTCACTTCTCTACACGAGTCACTACTGCGAAGAAAACGTGTATAAGCTCCTGGAACGCGTGCAGCAGCACCATCCCGAGCAGCTTGATCGTTGGTACGCGCTCTTCCTCAGCAACCAGGCCAGGCACATGGCCATCTTTGCCCAAAGCCTGGGCGACCCTGTGCGAGGCTCGGTGGTGGTGTGGGATTATCACGTCATTGCCTTGCGCCTTGGTGCAGCCCATCCCTCTGCGGCAGAGGACCTGGTCTTTGACTTTGACTCGGTGCTGCCCTTCCCTTGTGACGCCGAAACCTACCTCAATGCGACCTTTCCCTATAGCTTCCTCGATTTGGCCCACAACATGCGAGCTCAGGTTCACATGGTTCCCGCCAAGCAATTTCTGAGCACCTTTGCCTCCGACCGCAGCCACATGCGTCGTCACGATGGCAGCTACACCAAACCGCCCCCACCTTATCCCTGCATTCACAGTCCTGGTAAGAATGTGCTGCTGGCCCGACTCCATACTGAGGGCATGGGGTACGCACAAATCATTCACCTACCCCCAACTGTTACTTTAATCTCAGATGCTCCGTCCACCAACAACCTTTCCGCCTTTCTGGCCATTCGAGGTGCCCAGGATGTGGGACCCGTCCCCGCCAGCCTCCCGCATGCCCCGGATGCCACCCAGCATGCAGCACAACGGGGGGATGAACACGGACACGATCATCAATCACGCCCATCTACCAGAAGCAAAAGCGCGCGACCCTCAGGCATTGCACCGCCCATGCATGGGCCCGGTTCTCACGGTATCAGCCCCGTACACGCCGATGAGAACCTATGGCTGACCATATCAGAGCTACGCCAACACCTGCAATGACCCAGCTCCGTAGCCATGCAGCAAACTGCCAACACTGGCTCGATGATTCCACGAGCGCTTTTCTTCTTTTTTTTTTTTTTTTTCTTTTTTGCTCGAGGCGGGCTTGTCCCGTTGGACAACTTGGCTTTTCATCCGTCATTCTTCCCTTAACATCATCGTTGTCTGCGACGGTTGCACTCATTGTGTATCGGTAGTGACAGAGATCGACCTCAGATCAATGTATTCCTCAATCCTGCAGTGCAGAGTGCCAGCAAGGATTTCTTTTTTTTTTTTTCCTTAATATCTATCTTCTCGCTAAATTGATAGGCTCATTCTATTTCAACCGAGTCCACCGAGTGTTGGCGGACTCGTCTCGCTATCTCAAGGCCTTGGGCCGCAGCCTGCTCTGCACGGCCACGCCCATGCCGCATCCTAGCCCTAGGCAGCCGATTGTGGGGTCAGCTCCAAATCCACCACGACCGGGCGGTGGTCACTCAGAGTAAAGCCGGCCGGCCAGCTCTGCAAGGGCACAGACGCCAACCAGGCATGAGTTGGACACAAGGGTGCATCTTAAAAGTTGAGGAGGCAGCAGCGCAGCTCACTTTATCATTTGCGTGGTCTGGCAAAAGGACAGCACAGACTGGACGCACGGCACTGCTCTCGTCGCGCAAAAACACAAAATCCACACCCACTTGCAAACCTGCGAACCAGGTTCGGATGTTGAGGGATGGCCCCTGGCGTGCCGAGGGGCAAGGGCAGGGACGTGCTGTGCATTCCATGGGCGTGGACTTACCTTGGTGGTCGCGGTGAGTCACGCTCAGCTCCTTGCGATGAACTTTACCATAGCAGGAAACAAACCCGTGGCTGTATTGGAAGAGAGGCCACGCATGAATCAACAACCGGCAATCCTCTCACGGATAAAGCGAGACAGCTCATCATGACGCGTAGATAGGAGCGCAGGGAAACGTACTCGAGCATAGCGCGGCACGAGGCCGAGCTGAGATTACCGTTGAAATCACCAACGACCAGGGAGCGGCGCAGACCGCACTCCCGCTCGAAAGCATCGAGCTCCGTCAAGAGGTGTCGGGTATGGCGGAGGCGGAGGTCGTGATCCTCTGTGCGCGCTGGATAGGTGAGGTGGGTGTTGCAGAGGATAAAGTCAATGTAGTCTGATGTGTCCGGGTTCGTGTGTGGGCGGAAGCGAAGGTGCAGCATCAAGGTTACACGATAGGCGTAGTCGTGCACGATCCGTCTTTGGCTGATAACTTGGAGCCGCGGTGCCTCGAGGGCCATGAGCAAGCCGTCGTGAATACGGCCTGGGCGCTTGAGCATGAACCGGTGAAACTTTTGCCCAAGCTGCTCTCGATAGAGATCGTGCATGCTGGAGTCAAACCAAAACTCCTGCAAGCAGAGGGCGGTGGGCTGATAGCGGTTGCACAGGAAGGAAAGAATGTCCGATTGTCGCTGTATCGATACGGAGGCAAAGGCACTTTCTCGCAAACCCTGGCCCACCCGCTTGTGACAGGGAGCCAGCACGTTGAACGTGATGAGTCGAAGTCGATGTGAATCGGCCGCACTGCTTCCCAGCGCTCGCGGTGTCGCTATCCTGTACGGGCATGGCGCAGAGCGTAGCGCACTGCAAACGCTGCGCTGAAAGGCCTGCATGATGGTCACGTGTGCTCCTCAAGGCTACGAGTACCCGCGAGGCCTTGGAGGCCTGCTGAATAGGCGCGCAAGCAAGGTATTCGGCACGCTGTCGGTAGCGGTCTGCAGATCGCCGGCGCCACACGGCTCTTCCATCCAGAAGGAAGACTCTAGTACTCGTAACGGGCGTAGCTCGTCGCCAATTGCGGCGTCCGTTAAAATGCGCTTCAGACTTCTACGTGACCACCGTCGTTCCTATTTTTGGCTCTTTTTTAAAAAAAAAAAAAAAGTTGAACGAAAAACAAGAAAAATTTAAGAAAAAAAAAAGATGTGATTGCTGCCAGTCAACATGTGCTTTCAGGGTCATGAGCAATGCAGAGACAACAAGCAAACAAACGAAAAAGGGGGTGGGGGGAAATGGCGGAGGCCTTCATCAGCGAGAGGAGATGGTGGTGGGAGAGGTCGTTTGACTGAAAACGCAGCAGAGCATTGCCGAGGCCGGCCGATACTCCTCATGGTCAGCCACAGTGAGAGTCGGCAGCGTAGGCTTCATACACGATGCTACTTAGATTCACTTTTCAATTCATCATGCATACCAACTACAGCCATGCCTGAAATTGCCCTCGTGTGCTTTGGCACCTTGGTCTCAACAGGAAAGCAGAGGCCCTCCGGACTCATTCAAGACTCTCGGTACCCGTGTCTGAAATGGAAGTGGCTGCCAAGAGCTGTCAGGGCGAACAGTCACCAAAGTACCGGAGTAAGAAATAAAAAGCTGCAAAGCGCTCAAGTCGAAAATGACAGGGGTCGGCCTCCGCAGCTTACCGTGCTCACGTCTGGCGCCACGATAAACTTGCGATCCACCTGGCCTAGGTTGTAGGCAGTTGGCTGCCCACCGTCGTGGTCAATCATCATCAGTTCCTAGGCGGCACACGATTAGTGGTGGCCGTGAGTGCATCAGTCACAGCTTGGGCAAAGCTTTGATCACGAGCGTCACATACTTGAAGATGGCTGGCCCGTGTGCCTTCATGAACCTCAAAGGTCACATTGCCCATCACCAGTTCCATTTTGCCAGAACGACGAATGCGCAGGCGCCCAATGATTCCGGCTAACACCGTCATGTCGAATTGTACATTGTGAGCTCACGCCCGCGGTAAGACCGGCTCCGTGCCACGAGACTGGGCAGCACACCCCTCGAGCAACACATAGACACAGACACAGACATACCTGGCAGGTCTCGCAAATTGGCACATCGCTGGCATGGCCAAGGTAGAGAGAAGCGGAAGGAAACGCAAACACACGACACATGGTAAGGATGGCTCATGAACCCGGCTTCATGCATCCCGCAGGCCAGCAAGGTATTGCATTACACATGAAGGGAGCAAAGACGCGCTGACTCACCTCAGCACCCGTGGGCTCGACATCCTCTGGCTGAGAGTGGCATGCCCAGTAAACGAGGGGAACAACGTCAGCTCACAGGATGATACGATTTGTTCACGGGGAGTTGTGGTACGAAAGGCGGCCAGTGCGTACCAAAGTGCCGAGTTGACCGTTGATCATGAGCCCGGGCAGCATATCAGGAAACTGAAGAAAGAGAAGACGAGACTCTTCGTCCTGGGAGGCGCAACTTGACCGTGAGAACACGCGGCACGAAGCCAAAGCACGCGGCACGAAGCCAAAGCACGGATGTTGCGGTGCACTACCTGCAGGCTTTTGAGAAAAACATCAGCCCCGGAATCTTGTTCGACATCTCCTATCAAGCGCCAGCAAGCAACAGCATCCAGCATCAGGGGAGAAAATCGAAGGAATTGGGCTGAAACGCCGGTCGAACAACGGTACAGACATATGTACCTGCAGGATCTGCCGCAACCGTGTCTTCATCGTCATCTATCAATCCAACGGGTGTCCCATGTCTCGATTAGTTGGGGTGGCAGGAAGCCGCACTCAAGGGGCTCAGAACATACCGGGCACAATCCCAGGGGGCAAGACTTGTTTTTGCAGCTTTTTGTCATGCATGGGAAGGAACGTCGGGCGCTGTTCCGCTGTGGTCTCATTGAGCCACGAGCCGCCATACGCCGGAGCATCCTAAACCAGGCACCACATTCGTTCCGATTGGTCAAACTTCAACGCGACAGCAGTCACGAGTACTAGTTTGCAGCGAAGAACGCGCACACGGCAGATGCCAGCTCAGGACCGCACCTCATCAATGTCACTGTCCGACTCGTAGTCACCGCCATCCTGTTTGACACGTTCGAGGCGGGAGGTGAGGTTGAATGGGCTCACATGGTAAGAGAGGCTAGAGGCTAAGCGCGTGACGCGGGCTCACACACCTCCATGGCTTCGCCCGTCGCGCTCTGCCGTGATGCCCGCGAGCCGCCACCGCCACCGCTTTGAACTGCACGGGTGGCAGCGCGGCGTGCTGCCGCACCTCCTGCTCCAGTCCGCGTCGCAAAACCTTTTGAGAAGATACCCTATGCCGTGTTTCATTCAAATGATCAGGTTAAGTGAAAGGAAAAGGCAGCAAGCCTCTGCATAACCTAAATGGTGCATGGTGAGGGCTGTTCGAGCGCAGCAGCCACGTACATCGTCCTGGTTGGTGAAGCGGTTGGCACCACGGCCACGGCCACCACGGCCTCGGCCACGATCTATCAGAAGCAATCAGCCGAGCACGAGGCCATGCCACCATCGTGAGAGTCGAATCCATTTGTATACAACACGGACAAGGGCCGTTGCTGCCATGGGAGCGCAGACGAACCAGCTGTGCCGCGACCGCCTCGGGCTGCCTTTTTGTTATCGGAATGTTTGCTATCATTTGCACTTGCTGCGGCACCTCCGTTACCTGAGGCTGCACCGGACCTAGAGAGGAAAAGGAAGGAAAATGCATCGCATATTCGGTGGGTGTCGGTGAGTGTGGCAAGGACAAAGCTTTGGCGCGCAGCTGCTGCAAGGGAAGGCTAAGATGCAGCGTACGTGGGGATTTTAGGCGCAAATTTCTTAGCACCACGGAGCTTGGGGGCCGTGCCCCGCGTGGCGGGGCCAGTTGCACCACGGCCACGGCCACGGCCACGAGCGGTTGCTGCGACGACCGAGGACGCCACGAGCTGGGGCACCATTGAGGGTGCCCCGCCTCCGCCAGCTGATCCTTGATCTCCCATGCTCAGCGTGAGGGAGTTCCAGCCTCAAGGCAGCACAGAGCTCACCCAACCCCCTCCGGAGCAAATCACCCCTCCACCCAACACCCAAACCAAAATCCAAATGCACCACCACCACCACCTAGGCACTGAGGCGACCGCTCGGCTCGACTCAACTCGCGTCGTCGTCGTCGTCGTCGCCGTCACGTTGAGTGAGTGTGCATGTGGCCCAACAAAAATCATGACAATGAAGTTTCTCTTGAGCGTTGTCTGTACATGTGTGCATCTCTATATTGATCTCAGTCTCGACTCATCCCTCTGATTTAGCATGAGTTTTCTGTGAATAACCATGGAAAGACATTCATCTTCTCTGTCAACTCGTTGAAACCGGCCTTCCTCTCTGTTATTTGACAGCACCGTGCTGCGTTCTCTGCCACAACGTGGGCCCGTCACTGACTTCGCGAGCTTCCTGCGGACATCGATCCGCTGCCGCCTCCGCCGCTGCCGCTGCTGCCGTGTTGTGACCATCCGGCACACAACAGGACGACCGATGCCATGCGGGTGCTGGCGGTGAATGCAAGACGATGGCAACCAACCTCCCAGGTACGCTCTGTATTCGGGATAGCACAAGGAGGCAGGGGACATAAACTGCAAAGGGGCAATGGAGGAGTGAGGAGAAGAAGTGGCGTCTCGCTTTGGTGCTATCCAGTCAGCCTTGACTCGGCGGGCACTGGCGCGATGAATGCGTAGGAGTTTGTTCGAGCACTACGCCTGGTCCAGCAAGAAGAGCAAGAGCGCATTTGCCGCTTTCGCTTCGTGGAGGACGCCAAAGCCAGTCTGTTGGGGCGCCTTCTAATTCGCCACGTGATCGCACACCGCGAGCCTCAGCTCGCCAACTGCAAGCTCGTCCGCTCATCCACCGGCAAACCCGACGTGGAAGCGCCCGTATGTATGCGCAATCCGCTTCAGGAGAGTCTAAATCACCTTATTTGCTGACCGTTGATCGGAGTGTAGGTTCGCCATGCACATCCCGGCCTTGAACATTTCAATGTGTCCCACAGTGTAGGTACCATCCCTCAGCCTTGTATCCAGCGCCCCTCCCTTGCACCCAAGTCATTCGGCCTATCGATGCTTGTGACATGGAAATGATAGGGCGCACTTGCCGTGGTAGCGGCCTGCAGCACCGGGCCTGTTGGTATTGACTTGGCAGACGTGCGCCAGCCCCTGAGCGAGTCTGTCGAGCGGTTCTTTGAGTTAATGCGCGACGTCTTCACCCCAAATGAATGGGCGCAAGTTCGGGCTCCGTCTGATGAAGCCTCGTGTCTTGTGCGTGGCCGTGCACGAGCGCTTTCGAAATTCGTTCTCCTGCTCGTTTGCTTTTGCCCTGGTACCTGGAAGTTGCAGTGTCCTCTGGCTCACAGCGCTGCGCCGCTTGCAGCGCCGGTTTTATGTTTTCTGGAGTCTCAAGGAAAGCTTTGTCAAGCTCACAGGTGCATTTGACACGCCTTCAACCTTGGGGCCAAATCGGTCTTGATCTTTGTGCCTCACATGACCGAGTGTGTTCGAGCGCACGGTAGGCGATGGGGTTGGATACGGTCTGCAGCGGATAGACTTTTCTCCAGATTGGAGTGTGGATGCCACGGCCCATAGGTGCGTATTGTTCTGGCTCTTTGCTTCTCCACCACGCTCTGGCAAGCAGTCGCTCACAACGCCGTCCACGCACCCAAACTTCCTCGCATCTTGGGCAGTGAGTTTGTCTCTCGTGCCCAAGTGTCCTTGGATGGTGTAGAGCAATCAGACTACGGCTTTGCCCAGACCTGGATTGATCCCAAGCACGTGGCTGCGATCGCCTGGCATCGACGCCCCCACAAGGCGAGCTCAGATGCCTCCGTGCCCGTTCCTCCAGTCCAGACACTGACATCATCGGACCTGTTGGAGACGTTGGACCGGGGTAAGCTCGTGCTCGGTAGTTTTCACTTTGACCTTGCCTCTTTCTACAACTCACGCCCCTTTTGCTTCATCTTGTTATTGCTTGGGTTTGCTGTATTGCTTGGTTCGACACGTAGTAATGTCTGGTTTTGGTCTCTGGGCTCCCGAGAGCCAGATTGTGGCGCTATACGAGCGCATGCTGACGAAAAAAGAGCGATAAAGTGGCGCTCACTTTTGGCAGCTTGCCAGCACGAGATGACAGTCACCACCTATTGGTGCTTCGGTCGATTGTTTTTTCTAGCAACGACTATTGACGTCTCGGACAGTGACACACAATTGAGCAAGGCTTCTGCTCTTCGCTTCAGGCAAAACCACGCCCACGCCTCAGAATTACAAGTACAACATGCTTCAAAGGTTCAGTTGCCGTTTGACATCGCAGAAGCGTCCGAGATCCCATTGGTCAAAGTTGACCATGTCCGTGCCAGAGAACACGCAGTGTACAGTCACCTTGTCGTTGTATTGGAGGTCTACAACAAGCATACTCAAATGAGGAAACGCGCGTCTACAGAGCCAGGACGAACAGCACGCCTGCGTTTTGATAACGTACTAGGTAGGAGCTTTGGGGTTACAAGAAAGTATTGTGAAGCTTCCGCTTGTGAGCACACGGACATGACCTAAAGAGCAAGCGTCAGTTAGCTGAGATCAGTTGCAGTTGTTGTTTGCACGTGTGCACGTGTGCACACCGCGCTCACCTGCTCAAAGACACGGCGTTCGTTCTTGTCGTCCATGCCCTGGTTAATCTCATCAACCACTCGGAAGGGGCACTGCAAAGGGCGCGTAGTGTGAGTGGCATGAGAAAACAAGGCACTCTGCCACAAGGTCGAGGAGAAACAGTCGAGTGTTTCCAAAAACTTTGAACTTGAACATTGCTGCTCAATACAGTTTGTAGCACACCTGGGTTTGGGTCTGCAAGGCCATGAGATAAAGCATGGTGGATACAGAGCGCTCTCCACCGGACTGATGGCTGTGCATCAGTGGTGCCAGTTCTTCTCCAGCTCGAAATTGAACCATAATTTGGATGCCCCAGTTTTTGTATGAATCCTGCACACAGACACCGAGCGTAGTGAGTTGATCTGACGCCCGGAGAGGCCTTGCAAAGGGCGTAAAAGACTGCAAAAAGCGATGTGAGTAGTTTAGGCAAGTCTGCAAGCTCACCGCTTTGACAAGCTTGACAGAGCCAGCACAACCCTCAAGTTGCTGGAAGAATTCTCCAAACTTGATGCTAATGTCATGCGTCTACGGCACGGAGAGACAGAATCAAGCCAAGATCGCCGAGGATCAAGCCTGGAAGCAATGGCCCAGCACAACTGCCTCACCATGGCTTCCATCTTGCTGATCCACGGGTTGGCTTCCGCCTCGTGCTGAGCCCGATGAGCATCGAGTTTTTTCTGCTCCTCTTGAAGCTGCGATCGAAACGGGCGAGTGGATACAAGACACCTCTCGTAAAGTCAAAGCCGCAAGCCAGCATTCCCAAAGTAACGTAGCAAGCGTACCTGTTTTTTGAGTTGATCGAGCCTGATTTTCTCTTGCTCGAATTCTCGCACCACGGCCTCATTAATCTCGCCACTGGCGTTGCGCTGTTGTGTCCACGAGCCAGCAAGAATGAGCACACGGTCGAGGCGTATAAAGTGAAGGTCGCTGTGTGTCTCACTGCGACACGTGTTGAATGCCAAGCAGAAAAGGAGTGCCTACCCGAGCAACGAGGTTGGCCAAGTTTTGCTTGAGTGTGGGTAGATCCTCGGCCAGAGTGGCAAGGATCTCTATTGTCTCCTTCGTCAGCTCACCGCCATTGAACTGCTTGGCAACCTATCAGGGTATACGACCCAGGGATGAGCTGACTGACCAAACAAGTCGTTTCCTTGTGCACGCAAGCCTGGCGAACACTCACAGCCAACAAACGCAGTGCTTCCTTCTTCATATCTTTGATCTGCTTCTTGCGACGTGGCAAGTCTTGCACTTGGGTATTATAGTTTTGCTTGCATTCGACAAGCTGTGCAACGATGATTTTGTGCTACACACGACGACGGGTCCGAAGCACAACGATGATTAAGCCGAATCCGGAATGGCTGAAAAAAAAAACAAAAAAAAAACAAAAAAACAAAAACAAAAAAAAAACGAACAAACTCGAAAAAAAGAAAAAAACCAAAACGCACAGAAAATGGTACTGTCCCCTACCTGATTATGGGCCACTTGGAATCGCATCAGGACTTGAGAAATTTCGCACAAGCCCGTGCGCTGCAAGTAGACGGAGCGTGAGTCGATAGAGCACCGCAAATTTGCCGTGAACAAAATTGTGAGCCTCGCACACGAGAATGAATGCAAGTCATGCCCACCAGAGTGCCGCTGATGGAGGCGACCTCAGCCGTCAAGCCTGGAAGCTGAGCACAATATGTCTTGGCTTTGCTCTTCAGATTGGCCAAAAGACCCTGTATTGGCCAAGTGGGCAGTAGGAGCCACCAAGTCAGGGCAGCGTGCCACAGAGAGATGCGGTGTGTCAAATGTACAACATGGCAACAAGCACGAGCTTCCAGACGCAAGATATCAAGCCCATGCCGACAATCCCACTCGCGACCGCACACGCGCGCCCACCTGAAGATCTCGAATAGACTTTTCAGCCGAGCGAAGCCAAGATTCTTTGGCATCAATATCGGCCTCCAAGGTTTTGAACACCTTCATCTTGTCGCTCAGAGCTCGCTTGTCTTTATCCTTGGTGGCATGCATTGCTTCCGCCTCCTGCACAAGATCAAAGGAACAGACAAACACGAACAAAAGGAGACTATAGTTAAAAAAATGAAAAGTGCAAACTGCGAGGAGGCGGGGGCGGTGCAGGCGTCAACGAGTGGTCGCCAAAACCACCACAGAGGCAATCGCCTTGCCTTGCACGACGATTGCCGTTGCATAAGCTCGTCTTGAAGCGTGGTGCACGTGGCCGTGCATTTGTCCATTTCGCTGCCATGGCAGAAAGATGCAAGTAAGCTCAGCAAATTCACTTTGGGTTCAAGGCGGCCCAAGTAGCACAAGGAGCTCACGCTTGGCACCGTGCAACGGCTTCCTTGTCCTCTTGTAAGCGCAAAATCGTTGATGGTCGAATCGGAATCATATCCGTCTAATGAACAAAAAATTGAAGCGTGAGGCAAGGCGTCGATAGGCACATGGTCACCACCCCATGCGTCAAGCCTGCCAATACCACAAACGCATGAACCAGCACAAACCATGTCGTAGTCGGAATTGAATCGCGACTTCTTGTGTCGATAGTTCTGCCTGTCAACGTAGAGGGTGGTGTAACCTGGAAAACCCAAAGCAATTGTCAGAGTGACTTGCCATGTTACTGTGCTGGGGAAAAGGGCAGATCCAGCGAGCGGTTGTGGCAGTGCACATGCCTTGACTTATCAGACCGTTGACATGGCGGTCATTTGCAGCATCAAAGGTCACTGGAATCTCAGACATGTGGTACTACAGGGTCATACAACCGCCGGTGAGGGAGCTGCGTAGATGAGGGGCGCACGGCATTCGATGCCAAATCCTCTGCTCATACTCACTTTGGTTGTGAGAAATGCAAAGGTGGCTGGGGGCGCGCGCAAGTGTTCAGACATAAACTTGAAGCCCAAGCCAGAGAGCTGCTGTCTTCTCCGGTCGTCGACTTGTCGCGCTTCGCGAGGGTCCATGTTGAGCACATTGATGGGAATCTTTTTCTTGTCACGCAATTCAGTGAGCAAGAGCTAGTCCGGCAACACACAGCAACCGTGAAGGCGCGTGGCATGAGATTTCTTGCAATTACAAAGGCGCAGGGATTGCAGCGCTTCTCAGAGGATACAACATACCTGTTGATCATGGGTATTGGTGGTCACAAAGGCTTGTTGGTCAGGCTTGCCAATGGTCATTTCAATGACATCGGCAGCCCTTTCATTGCTGACGTCCAAAGCAAGAATGAGTGGACCTTCGATCGGATCCTTGAATTTGGATCTACGGGGCGAACATGGTAGCCAGCAACGCGATAAGACATGGTCTTAGGCATGGGCAAGGTCTGGACCCACACGCACTGCGCCCAGCTTTTGAGTGGTTGCGCAAAAACCAGGTGGACGGTGCTGGGAGCAAGCACGCACTGATTCTGCTTAATCCACTCCACGGCATCGCGAAGGTGGGGGTACAGGCGAAAAAACTCATTTTGGCGACGTTGAGATTGGTCTCGAGCGCGCTCAAGTTGTGCGCTGGCGCGCTGCTTGGCCTGGGTGGCTTGGCGGAGGTTTTGTTCAGCTTGTTTGGCCTCACCACGCAAGTCGATGACCTGGCTCTTCAGCTCGTGAAGCTCTCGCATCACCTGCTCAAGTTGTGCCTGACCAGACGGTATGCATTCAGAGATGGGTGCCGGGTTGCTTGAGGGGTGGCTCGAGATGTTAGTTGCAATGACAGCCTTGTATGGGCGAATGACTTACCTGCAGCCCGCTCTGGTTCGAGGCCTTTTCCAGCTCCTTCTGCAAATCGACGAGGGTTGCTTGCAGGTTGTCGCGCCTACAAGCACAGCGAGTGGTGAGATGAGCTCGGCAGGTAAGGCAGTATGATGCGCAGAAAGCTGACTTGTCTTGGCGAGTCTTCAGGCTCTTCTGCTTCGCGGCTGCCTCATCAATGACTTCCTGCAGCTGGCTGCTGCACGCTGTCAGGTTCTCCGAGGCTTCGTTAAATTTGGTAAAGGTAGCGGCGAGCTCCGATTTCTGTCGGAAAACGTGAGCATCAGCAGGAAGCCAGGTTGAGGGCGGGGGTGAGTCCAAAGGGGCCGTCTCGGGCATGCCTGGCCTCATTTGCACAAACCTTGGCCTCCACTTTGTTGCGCTCTTTGTTGACAATGACTTCAGATTCTCGCGCTTCCCTTTCTTTGAGCTCGACTTGTTGCCTGGCAACAGAGGACTGCTCCTCAAGAGCTTTGCATTCCTTCTTGAGTGCTTCGACCTGCTGTTTCAAAAGGTTATACTCCTATTTGCGGGAACCAGACGGCCAGCAGAATCAGAGCAGCAGAAGAGGAGGGGCAAACAGCCACATTAGCTGTTGTACAAAACCACATCCGATGTCGAAAAAGCGAGCATGAGAGAAGCGACGAACGGAAAAATTGATCTTGTTCTCATGATTGAAAATATCTTGGCTCAGTTCTCGATGATGCTGTGCTTTCTCCACCTCGGGGCGCCGCTGCTCGTTGCGTCTGCGGCACAAAGACGAATATTAGCGCGCATTCACCACACACGGACACGGACACGGACACGGACACGGACACGGCCACGGACACGGCCACGGCCACGGACACAGACACAGACACAGACACAGACGCAGACGCAGACACAGACACAGACACAGCCACAGACACAGACACAGACGCAGACGCAGACACAGACACAGACACAGCCACAGGCAGGCAGGCGCCTTGAGTTACAAGTGAAACACGGAGCAAACGCACTGAAAGCCATTTTGGTACTCTTGATGGATAATCTCGTACGCATTGACCTCCTGGTTCAAAGCCTGTTCATCCTCGGCAAGCTTTTCGTGCTTCTCGCGCAGCTTCTGACCACCAATCTGCATCCGTGGTACAAGAACAGGCAAGAGGTCATTGCGTCTGCTATGCACGGTACCCGGTCTGGTTATATTTGTCAGAGGTGTTGAGCCAAAACCCTTGTATTGTACATACCGCCGTTTCTGTTGCAACAAGGAGTTCATCGGGTTTCATCCGCGAGAACTCGGACACCTTGTCTTGAGGCAAAAACTGGCAAAGATTGTCCATTTGGATGTTCAGAGCACTGATCTTTTGCTTGACCTTTATGGAGCAGAAACGAGATGTGGCTGTGAGTCCCTGTTTTTGTGAGAACGGACATTTGCGTTCTATCATCTTAGTCTTCCGCTGGGCCAGGATTGCCCATTTATCGATGTACCTGTTCCTCTGTTGCCGGGCGGCCATTCAGGGAAAAGTTCGACGAGGCTTTGCCGTTATTATTCCGGTCAATCGTCATCACTCGGCGCACCGTCAAAGGCGCATTCTTGCCCATGTCCCTGCAGATGGCGCAGACGGTATATTGAGATGCCCAAACAGCCACGATTTGCTGGGCTGCAGAAAGTCCATGCGACCACCAGGCGCGGAATGCCATGGCCTTACAGCTCAACCTCGATCACCGCACGATCTTCATTGGTGCGGATAAACTGCTTGTACTGTTGGGGAGATCATGAGTGTGGCGAGACGATATGAGCAAGTGATATGGGTGGGAATCATGCTCGCCATCACGGGGCCCCTCGAGGCTTGTCCTCACACCAGTTAAACAGAGTCAGGCACCAGAGGCTAGACTTACGTGTGTTGCACGGCCAAGAAGTTCGGGCTTTCCCGCAAGGCACAAGCAAATGGCACAAATCACAGTCGATTTGCCCGAGCCTGGCACAAGAGAGAAGGAGCGAGTACAGAGACATGCAGCAAAGCGCGTCAGATACTGGGGCGGGAATCTCAGGCGCACATTTGGACGCGGCAATTCCAGCCAAAGCTCATACCGTTGGGTCCGAGGATGACGTTGAGGCCAGGGCCGACATGGAATTCAACCTTTGAATAGGTCCTGCGGACATGCGGCATACGAGGTCAAAGACCGTGCATGTCAAGGGCGTCAGCTGTGTGACACGCGCGGTCCGCAAAAGCAAATGGAGACGTACACAAAATTCTCCATGTAGATGCGCCGAATGGCTCCCACGGTAGATTTCGATGAATGGTGCGCCCGCTTGGCAAGGGGCACAGGACTGCCAGCACCATTGTCCTCCGAGTCGCTGGTCTCGTCCGGAACGCGAGATCGTCTGGCCGACAACATGTCGGCCAGTCGTATCACGCTCAAACACGCACAGGCCCACGCTCGGTCTCTGGCGTCCAGCCCCTCTCTCCTTCCCACGTCCGCCACCAATGCCTGCCTGTCTTCTCTCCACCAAGGAAGCCAACTCAAGCAGGGCGATGCCCTCGCGTACGTGTCTGTGCGCTCAAAAACGGTCACGATCAAGTCACACACACACACACAGTCACAAGCAGAATGTGTATTGTAACGGTACATTGTTGAACTTTACTGTACAAAACAGTTGTTGCAATTTTTTTGTTCTGAGCTCTCTCTTTCGTTCAGTCTTTAGGCGTTTGAATTTGAATACGTCAAGCTTGGGTGGGGGCACTGTCATCTGTGGCGGCCGTTTCCTGTTCCTCGTTTTCCGCTTCATTGTTGGTGAGTTGAACAAGTTGTTGTTGCACCTCGACGAGGTCATGGAGCGTCTTGAGGGTGTCGTCGGTGAGTGAGGCTGATCCCGTGCGCTGGAAGCGACCGGGGCCGAGGTTTGAGTTGCGCTGGCCCATTTCGAGCGAGCGACGGTAGGCTGCCCAAACGGAATCGCTGAGGACAGAACGCAACTTGCCACGCTCACATGCGTGCAGCGCCGCTGCTGAAGTTCCACCTATACCGAATCAAGACGCCAAAAGATGGGCGTGGATGGGTGAGCGTGGATGGATGAGCGTGAAAGATGTAGCAGGTGGAAGGGCATGGATATGGATGTAGAGACGCACCTGGTGAAGTAATGCGCTCACGCAAGAGTGCAGGGTGATGACCGGTGGCACGTGTGAGAGCAACGGTGCCAAACATGGTCTCAACGACGAGCTCGCGTGCCATTTGACGTGGCAAGCCCAAATGCACACCCGCATCGATCATGGATTCCATGATAAGGTAAAAGTAGGCCGGCCCGGTACCAGACAAAGCCGTCACCATGTCCATGTATGCTGCAGACCAGCATTGAAACACGCGTGGGTGGGCATCAAGGTGAGCGCTTGGACGATGGGAGCCGACAGGCACAAAGGAAATGGCGGAGGGAGGGGGGGGGGGGGGGGCAGGCAGCGTACATTCGTCCGGCACAAAGAGCTCGCGGCCAAAGGCTATGCGTCAGGAGACGACACAACAGACATGGACACAGCAGCGCACATGAGATAAAAAAAAAAAAGAAGACCACGTGGTCCAGCAAAGCATGCAAGGGTGACCAGAAACGGGGTGCTCTGAGACGGAGGGGGATGCGTACTGCTGAGAAGCGAGCGCACAAGGTCACGATCCGAGTTGGTCAGATCGGCCGCCGCGGTCCAGACGGTCATGGAGAGGTTGATGGAGGCTGGAGTGTTGGGCATGGCACGCACAACGCGACGACATTGGAGTTCACTCTGAATCTGATCAATGCTGATACCAGCCATGATGGAGACGACGACATCATCGGGCTGCACGGCGGCCTGAATTTGCGGGAAAACGCTGGGGCAGGATTGTGGCTTGATGGCCAAAAGAACCATGTCGGCTTGTTGTACGGCGTAGACCGAGTCGGAGGTCGCCTCGACGCCGAGTTCCCTTGCAATCTGGGTGACGCGATCTCCATGAATATCGGAGACCACAACCTAACAGGGAACGAAACGGCAGGCGCGGTGATGGTTGAGATGCGGAAGCGAGTTGGCTCAACACCCGGGTTGGGCGCTGCCAGAGGTCAACAATGGGTGGAGAGAGCGCGTCGAGGCAGGCAGTCGGACCTGGCTGGGGTCAACAAACCCAGACTTGACAATGCCGTGCAGCATGGCCGTACCCATGGCGCCAGCGCCAAGTAGGGCAAGCTTGCCATTGTGCGGAAAGCGTAGGGTCGCCACACGAGGGGCCGCCTCTGGCGTCAGCGTTGGTGTTGCTTGTCCCTCGCCATTCTCGGCATGAGCGCGAGCTGTATGCAACGAGCGAGTGGCTGTTCTCCGCCAGGCCCCACTCGTAATGGTGCGCAAAGTCAGCCAGCCAGGGGCCACGCCCTGCATGCCCCGGACCAATGCCATCTGCGAGGTACCGACGCAAGTTGCCAATGCGGTGAGACAAACCCCAACCCCAATCAAAAAAAAGAAGGCGACTGAAACGGACACAGGACCGAGGAAGAAGAGCAGGCAACGACCAAGGAAACCAGGGAAGGCTCGCAGAGAAACACCAGCTACATGAATATGAGCGAGGGATCGTCCCACCTCGGCGCGCGACTCCGAACCTTGGTTTGAATTTCAAAATTCACAGAGAGAGAGAGAGAGAGAGAGAGAGAGAGAGAGAGAGAGAGAGAGAGAGACACACACACACACACACACACAGAGCAATGTGACCTCGGAACAGAGCCAAAAAGTAAAATACTTGCATAACATGCCATTGTTATTGTCAGCAAGAAACCGGAATCACTGAATAATATCACACTTTGGAATACTGGAACAAGTTCATTTGTCAGATTAAATTCACGCCGAGAGATGGCGGCGCAGTGGAAAGTGGCAGCGTATGCCTCTGGGGCTGGCGGTGCTGGTGGCAGTGCTGGTGGCAGTGCTGGTGGCGATGCTGGTGGCGGTGCTGGTGGAGATGCGGTGGTGGTGATGCAGGGAACGGATGGAGAGGTGCCGGGATTAAAAGTGTCGTTGCAGGATCGTGGATCGCTGAGTGTGGTGGCTTGTGATGAGAACGTCTTTCGGGTATCCTATCTGATTGATGCAGAGGCCCGTCGGGTGCGTCCGTCGTGGTTTGTCGCAGATCCAGCCAATCCGCAAGCCATCCGGCCCGAAGGCTTGGAGCGCGATGAACTCCCTGCGCGAATCCGTGCTGGTGTGGAAGCACAGCTGCAGGCTGGACACGAGATGCGCCCTGCCTGCAGCGCTGCGGCCCAGGCCAGCGGCCGCCTGCAGCTCCAGGTCGACGCTGCTGCTGCCACGCTCACCACGGGTCTGGGTGCCAAGGTTCAGATCAACGCCGATACACCGAATCGTCCGCCCGCCATCACCCTGACCCTGAATGGTCATCTGATGCACCAGGACTTTGTACCAGGAGCCTATCGTCACGATGCTGCCCCACAGGCGGCCCAGACGCCGCGGGCAGCAGGCGCTGTCTCGCACCTGACCCAGATCCTTCCCGGCGATCACCTCTACGGCCTGGGCGATGCCTCGGGTACCTTGGAGCGCTCTGGCCAACGTTTTAGGCTTCATGCCGTGGACGGCATGGGCTACGAAGCAGACCCCACCACAGGTCGTCGCAGCGACCCTCTGTACAAGCACTTTCCCTTGCTGTATTGCTTGCGCGTGGACCCAGCCACGGATGCTGTGCTCGGAGCCTACGGCATTCTCTACGACAATGGCTGTCGTGGCTTTGTAGACACGGGCGCCGAGATTAGTGCTTTCCGAGGCTCTTACCGCCATGCCCAGTTTGATGGCGGTGACCTGGAATACTACTTGGTTGTCGGTGCCACGCTGCGTGACGTCGTTCGTCGTATGGCGGCTCTCATTGGCCTGCCTGCTCCCTCCCCGCGCTGGATGTTTGGTACGTCGAGCGGCGGGGGGGTTTTTTTTCACAACCGGCCACGTCAAGGGCAGCTGATGTTTCACCGTCTCCGGCTCATTGGTAGGCTATCTGGGCAGCACCATGGCATACACGGAAAGCCCAAATGCACAGGAGCGTCTGAAGCAGTTTGCTCGGGACTGCGATCACCACGATATCCTGTGTGATGGCTTTCACTTGTCTTCTGGTCCGTTTATGCAAGCTATTCCTCCTTGTATTCTTCGGACAATGTCTTGAACCGGCCCTTGTCGTACGCATTCATGTTTCGGTCATGCATTAGGCTACACGTGTGTGGATACCCCAGAGGGTGGCTTTGGCGCGCGCTGCGTCTTCACGTGGAATCAACGGCGCGTGTCAGATCCAGCGGCTCTTTTTGCTGATTTTAATGCTCGTGATGTTCGTCTGGCTGCTTCTTATCCCTCGGCCAAGTGCTCTTTGTGCTTGGCCCTCCCCCGCACCACGCCAAAGGCCTCACCTAGCACTGATGCGGACGTATTTGCACCGCGTGTTTAGATTCACGTGCTTCCCAATATCAAGCCCTGGCTTTTGCAAGCCGATCATCCAGAGTATGCACAAGTGGCTGCCTCGGGCGGCATGGTGCGCACCAGCGATGGACAAGCGCCACTGGAAGGAGTGTTTTGGAGTGGCGGCGAAGGTTCGTTCGTCGGCACGCACATCGACTGCTGTGCTAGGGGACATGCATGGAGCCGATGACATTGTATTTATCTTGCATGGCTCGGTACCTCCATAACAATTGCCAGGCTCGTTTGCCGTGGGCAGCTACGTCGACTTTGCATCCCCCACCGGCTTTGCTTGGTGGGTGCGCTCTGCGCAGGAGCAGCTGCTGCAACATGGGGCCACTGGCTTGTGGAACGATAACAACGAGTACGAGGTTGGTCAACTTGATGGCTTCCGCGACATTGGCCCAGGGTATGGTGGCAATCTCATCACCTTGTGTATCGCGCAACGTACGTTCTCAACATGTTGCTCTGTGTATAGGTCGACGATGATTTAGCGCTTTGTGGCTCGGGCCTACCCGGAAGCGAGGGGAATGCTTGTCACCCCTTGCTCTACATGCGACCCGTTCAAGGCATTCTGATGGCCATGGCCAGCTATTCGGTATGTTTGGTATGCACAGCAGATGGAATCAATCGGGATCTTGCCAGCGTGTACGGAAACTTTAAGCTTTTTTTTACTTCTTTTTTTCCTTTTTTTTTGGAGGGAGGGGTCAAGGATGGACTCATGCGCGTTGGCACCTACGTTGGGCGTTGTAGGCACTGGCAGAAACCTATCCCGATCGTCTTCCGGTCATTGTCAGCCGCTCTGGGAGCCCAGGGGCCCAGCGCTTCTGCGTGCAAACCTGGACGGGCGACAATCGAACCTCGTGGCGCACACTGCGCTGGAACACCCCCATGGGCCTCAACTTGGGTGGGTCATTGCGCATTTTGTTTGAATTTCAAGCCTTGATGTTGTTTTGTCTTCTCTTTCTATTTTACTTTTTGGTTCCCAGTCGTGACCCTGCAATTGGGAATCTGCTTGAGCATGTCCACTCATGTTTGCATGGTCATAGGGCTGTGTGGGTGGCCATGCAACGGCCACGATATTGGCGGCTTCAAGGGCCCCATGCCGGGACCGGAGCTGCTGGTGCGCTGGGTGCAGTCGGGCATCTTCCAGCCGCGCTTCTGCATTCATTCGTGGAACGATAATCAGACCTGTACAGAGTTGTGGTCGTACCCAGAACACGTAGACACGTTGCGGCGCTGCTTGCAGCTACGCTACCGGCTTTTGCCCTATCTGCATTCGCTGGGTGTTGAAGCGCAGCAGTTTGGGGACCCGATTGCGCGGCCCATTGTGCTCGAGTATTCGGCCGACCCCCACTTTCGTGGCCAGGTGCAGCCCCATGACGATGCCGACGGCGACGGCGGAGCTGCAACGCCAAATTCAGACCCTTCCGACTTGGACCTGTCTTTTGGAGCGAGCTGTGATTGGCTGTTGGGCTCAGCGTTGTTGGTGGCGCCAATTACTCGACAAGGTGCCATGGAGCGGCGCGTGCGGTTGCCTGGGGCTTTGGCTGGTGGTGTAGTGGACGGCACGACATGGTTTGACTGGCGCACGGGTAAAGTGCACCAAGGCGGGAGCATCGTGTTGCTCAAGGGTGGGCTGGACGCTTCTTCTTGCCCCCTCCTGGTACGCGGCGATCAAGGCGTGCCGTTGTTGGCACGGCTGCCAGCCTGCAGCGCCACGGGCCTGGCAACTCTGCCCGAGGATGGGGGCCGCGTAGTGCTGTTGCCGCTGGCGGGCCCTGCTGGCAGGCCATGCCAGGCCACCTGGTATGAGCGCGAGCCAGATTCACGACAGGCGGGCATTGCGCGGGTCGACCTCCGAGCCGAGGCGGTGGCGGGCTCAGATTTGACGTTTACCATTGCGGTGACGACGGCCATCAGCCAGGCAGCGGGATATACCTTGCCGTACAAGGCACTGACGGTGCTGGTGCCCAAAACGCAGTGCCAGCAGCTCCAAGCTGCGGATGGCACGCCCCTACCCGTCGCCACCGACGTACCGAGCCTCTACGAATTGGGCCTCGACCCCGAAGCCTATGCCGCCTTTACCCTGCCCCTTTGAGGCCATTGAGCCTCTGGGCTCCACGCTGAGTTTGATCGAGCCCCTTGAAGCCCTCTGTGCGTGGCGAGTTTGAAGCCCTCTTTGAGCGTCTGACATGCTGACAAATAGGCATTGATGACGCAATGGGCCGAAGCAATATGAGCAGCCAGTCAGGTGACTTTTGGATTCTGTGTGCTTCAAGTCCAGTGGCTTCAAAGTGTGCAGCTGCGAGCCGTGTTGGGCGGAATTGGGGGTCTGCACCTTGACTGCCTGCCACGTGTGTATGTGGTGTGCGTGTGTGTGGCCCCCTGCTCGTGTGTCTATATGGCGCACATGTGCCTGTTCCTTTCTCTCTGATATTCATGTGTGCATTCGCAGTCAAAGTGATGATACCTTGAACTACATTTGTTTTTTGAAAAATGGCAGTGCCCTCGGCGCAACTTGGCACAGACGCAGGCGCTCTTGAGAGAGAGGACAGAGAGCCAAGCAGAGGCACAATAATAAGAGAGGGGAGAGAGGTGTCCAGACACACATACTGTGATTGTCATGTGATGTCATTGAAAAAAAAAAAGAAAAAAAGATGTCACGCGGTTTGGAAGAGAATCAAAGGGTGTGTGTGTGTGTGTGTGTGTGTGTGTGTGTGTGTGTGTGTGTGTGTGTGTGTGTGTGTGTGTGTGTGTGTGTGTGTGTGTTGGCTGCCTGCCGCCCGGTCGTTCCCCCTCCTCAACGCCTGCGGCCACGGTGGTCCTGCAATGGTACATGATGATAATGGCGGCTATGGCGGCCATGGCAGAGGTGGCAGCGGGGAGGAGTCGAAGACAGTGGGCTAGCCTCGAGGTTGGCAGGCTCCAAACAAGCGTGTGTACCACGCCAAAATGCCTCTAGCAAGGATCAGACGACCCTTGCTTCCGTGGTCGTCATCGCCCCTTACAACACACACACACACACACACCGTCATCATGACACGCCCACGGGCTGTGCTCACCTCCCCCCCACCACGCTGGTCACTACCCCACTGCCTGCCTGCCTGCCTGCTTGCCTAACTGCCTGTCTGCCAGTTTTCCTCCTCGTCTCCACTGGGTGGTCACACTGTACGTCCACTTGTTGTATCGTCCGCTGCGTTTTGCTCTGGCGCCTGCAGCCGGCCTGCCCTCACCTCCACCTGACTGCCGCGGGCCTCGTGGCTCATTGCACACTGCCACTGCCACTGCCAGCCTCTTGTGCCAAGTTGGCCAGCGCATTTAACCCGCTCGTTCTCTCGTTCTCTCGACGACCTCTACTGCCCTTTTTTGACGAGCGCTCCAGACCGCCAAACATGGACTTTTTGGCCACCGTGGGTGGAGTGGCTGCCCTTGGCGCCGCTGCCCACAAATACGAGCTGGTGGAGATCCCCCAACTCGAACACGCCTGGAAGGTGGCCGCTGTGGCCGGCGTCGCTGCCGTCGGTGCTGCCCTTCAGACCGCAGCCGAGTTCAATCCCCTCGCCCGCAGCATGCAGCTTCTCAGTACCTTCCAATCCATTGAGAGCTCAACCCAGGCGGACGTCAGCTCCTCCATCGACGCCTACAACAGCCTGTACGACGAGACCAAGACAGATGATGAGCGCAACCAAGCCTACTCCTCTCTCGTCGACTCTTACTACAACCTCGTCACGCTGTTTTGTACGTACCTGTACCCTCTTCGCTGCCTTCCACCTACCCGTGAAAGGTCCTTGGTGGTCAACTGACATGCCCATCACCACTGGAGCCGCTCACGGCATAACCGTTTTTTTTTTTTTTTTTCAGATGAGTGGGGCTGGGGCTCTTCCTTCCACTTTGCCTACCGCATGTTGGGCGAGTCCTTCTCAGAGAGCATCCGTCGCCACGAGTACTACCTCATGTCCTTCCTGGGCGCTGGCAAGGGTGACCGCGTCCTCGACGTGGGCTGTGGTATTGGTGGTCCCCTGACCAACATTGCCCGCTTTGAGGGCCCCGAAGTCGACCTCACTGGCATTACCATCAACCAGCATCAAGTCTCCCGTGGCAACACCCGCTGCAAGCAGCTTGGTCTGAGCCACCGGTGCCGCCTCGTCCGCGGTGACTTTACGCAAATGCCCTTCAAGGATGCCGTCTTTGATGGCGCTTACTCGATCGAGGTACGCCATCCTCCCACCCGCCTAGATGGCATATCCTGAGTGTGCTGCATTTGCAGTACCACGGGCTTCCCATCCCGCTTTACTCCACCGCCCGACCCCGTGTTGGACATGGTTGCTCACGACGTGTTTCCGGGTTTGATTTGCAATTTGCAGGCAACTTGCCACGCTCCTGATCGCCGCACCGTGTTCTCCGAAGTCTACCGCACCCTCAAGCCCGGCTCGTATTTTGCCAGCTACGAGTGGGTCATCACTGAGAACCACGACCCCAACAACGCCAAGGATGTGGACATGCTGCACAAGGTCATGCAGGGTGATGGTCTGCCCAGCCTCAACACCATCGAGGAGGTGAAGGAAGCCATGCGTGATGTAAGTCGGCGGCATCTCGCATTGTTGCCTCTTTTTTGAGATTTCAACTCCCTTCTCTCCGCGAGGGTTGTCGTCCTGCAGTTGCAGTCTTTCTTGCTCATGGGCTCATGAATTTCATCGCTCCCTTTGAATAGGTTGGTTTTGAGGTTGTGATGGATCGTGACATGGCCAAGGACCCGGAACAGGTGGTGCCTTGGTACCAGCCCCTGCAAAGCACTTGGAACCCCCTGTCTTTCCGCTTCCAGTTCAACTGGCTCGGCCGCACTGTCATGAGCAACCTGCTGCGAGTGCTTGAGCTGTTCTGGCTGGCACCGGCAGGCACAGCTCGCGTTCAGGACATGTTGCAGCTTGCTGCTCAGGGCCTGGTATATTGCGGTGAACGCCAAACGTTTACCGTCATGCACATTCTTGTTGGCCGCAAGCCTCTGGATGCCTAAATGCCTGTTGTTCCCGGGGATCAACCAAGATTGGTATCTTCCCATGTCCGACTTGTTCGCGTCCTCTTTTTTTTTTTTCTTTTCTTTTTCTTGGTTTCGTCTTGCCTTGGCTGTTCGTACATAATCATCATTCATTCATTCCACATGTCAATTGAAGCATCATCAGGGTTCCCCTGTCGCGTGCATTCAAATGTAAGGATCATTGGTACCCAGGATTAGACAGAGGAAGGAATGACTGATGTTCAAAGAAAAAAGAGGCTTAAGTTTATCCAAGCGCCACTCGTAAAAAAAATACAAAGAGAACAAAGGAAGACGACAAGACTATGTTAACACGCACTGCGCGTTGAAGATTGAGCTACTGCAAGAGGGTAGCCAGCCGAAAAGAAAATATGTCGAGACGACTTATGCCTTGGCATGGCAGACGACGACGGGGATCTTGGAGTGGGTGACGACATATGTCGAGACCGAGCCGAGGATGGCACGCTTGAGGGCACCACGGCCACGGCTACCAACCACAATCATGCTGGCCGACTCTGTCTCGGCGTAGGCGATGAGCTCCTCGCGGGGGTCGCCGCTGATGAGAATGGCGCGGCAGGTCAGTCCCGGGTTCTTGGCACGAGCGTCCTTGACAAACTCCTCAAGGACATGGGATTGCTCACGACGCCAGTTGGCTTGCTCCTCCTCCGAGGGCACGTACGAGTAGTGGGGACCTGCCATGCCCGCTAATCAACATCAGTGCACACACACACACACACACACCAAGACCAGCACGCAAAACGGATTCCACATCAAGACGCGAAGCGTGTTCAAGTGAACGACGCGATGTGTCTGTCGGAAAGAGAACGAAGACGAATGCAGCGTGCAATCAAAGGTAACGTACCAACAGCGGGCTGGAGGGGCTTGAAGCAGTGCACAAAGTGGAGCTCATCACCCTCGCGGTAGAGGTTGGTGACGGCAAACTCGAGAGCCTCGTGCGAGGCGGGGCTGTGGTCAACAGCCAAGATCAACTTGCGAACAGCCATTTTAACTGCAACCCCACACACGAATAGCAGGTCAGCGGCGAGCAAAACCCGTTCAAAACAACATCAACAACCCCGACCGCAACAGCAGGCAATGGCCACGCTCATCGAGACCCCGTGATCTTACCGGAAGGTGGGAAGGAAGCAGCGGAGGCAAACGGCAGTCACGACGTTGCAGACGAGGGGCAAGTAAAGAAAAAAAAATGCCAGTGGACCGCGCCAGTGGCTGATTCAACGCGCGTCAGTGGTCAGTGGGTGGCCGGATCTTCTCTCTTTCTCTCTCGATCGCAGCCGGGGTTCAGCGCAAACCTCTGACTTGCATAGAGTTGTCCACTTTATGATCGCAAGATGACAATGATGAAAGGCGTACCTCTACGTTGTTCGTCCGCTCGGGCCTGTCCCTCTGGTGTGTGATGATGAAAGCGCTCTTGAACGTGCGTCAAAGAAAGCGCTGGCTGATCTACAAAGGTTTTTGTACCGATTCATGAGGTTTGTGTAGATTTGTTAATCTTATCTAGCCCAGCTAATGCAGTGATATGTAAGGTAGTTGTTTATGCGTTTAGGGAGGTTTATGAAGGTGTAATACTTGTTATTGCAGCCATCAACGTTGTGATACGTTTAAACGACTTTGAGTTGTTGCAGCAAAGATCACGACTGTTGTTGCGGGTGGGCGGTGTGTAAGATCAGACTGGCCACAAGGTGTTCTTCACTTAAAATGTGATGTCACTCACTTTGTCTTGTTTCACTGCCGGGATTTGAGACGAAACCAACACAAGAAGCTGCAGGTTGAACAGCGGTGTGATGTCGCTCTCGAGGCAGCATGAGCCCAAAGCGCTGCCCTTTTGCACTGCGGCGTTGCAGCACTATAGTGTGACGCGACCGGGATAATGGCCATCACTTTTGCTGCAAAAAGGATTTCATCATGACGCGGAGAAGTGGGCACAGGGATCCTGATGCAAGGGCACCGTAGTCATCCCGAAATTGTCAGATGAAGTTTTGGGTATGCTGACTGGGTTCGTGCAACCTTTCCTTAGCGCTATTCTTACGGTGCTGGTCAATGCTTGCCAACGGCAGGTACGTCAAACCCCCTGCCACACCCTCGGGGGTTCATAGGACACAAATGTGTCACATTAAGGTTCTGGATTGTTTTAGCCCAAATTTACGTTCTAACTTGATTCAAAACTCGTTCGAGACAGCTCGAAACTTGTTGTCAGACTTCTTGAAACTCGTTGTCGAGGGCTCGAAACTTGTTGTCAGATGACTCAATGACTTGGCTTGTTTATTTTGAATTGTTTTCATAATGACATGACCTTAAATAGGCTCCCCCGGAATGGACGTAAAATGTTTTTTACGGTGGTTTTTACATGGAGAATTTTGGTCGTGCATCGTCCGAGGGGCCAAATGTCAGACGGAAATTAGGAAAATTTGTAAAGTCTCTGCGTTTTGACCGTTACTTTTTGTTTCCTGCCAAAAGCACACAATTCACAACAGTGAAAGACAACATATAAATAGAACATAAGTTTTTGACAAATTTGGCAGTTGTATTTATATGTTCTGGTTCCACATTTGAAAACAATTTTCCGGGATCAAAACAGAGCATCTCGAGACAAAATTACAAGCTCTTATCGATTTCGTGTAATTTTGTACTTGTAAAGTCATTTCCGGGGGAGCCTAATATTTCCAATATTTACATGGCATAATGCTCAAAGTAAATTACTTCTGGTTGTAAATTTTTGAATTTTTGGGAAATTGGGCAAACCAATAATTGTCGTTTGTGACATCTTGCCTAAACTGCGCGCGCCGATGCGCGCTTCAATTCTGGGCTTGGTCTGGTGCCAGCTACAAATGGGATACCTTGCCAACCCTGAGCAGATCTGACCATGCCAAGAGACCGCCATGCCATGGCCTGCGATGGTCAACAACGACGACGTGCAGCAACTATCGACACCTTTTTTCCCATTCAAGGTGGGCTCCGCGTGTGATGTGGCCCACTTTCTAGCCAGCCTCATTAGGCGCACGCTCTGATTGCGGCTTCCAATAGGGACCCGATCTGTTGCCACAGCTTCAACGACCGTGGCAGATGAAGTTGCCGACGTTGCCGCCAGTGCCCAACCGCCCGTGACCGCAGAAAGAGCCCCATCGCCTTCGGCTGCGAGCACGCAGGCGCCATCATCGCTCCTTCCATGCCCTCGACCTCCACCAGGTGTTCCCCTGCCGATCAATTTAGGGTGAGTCGATTGTCGAGCCCTTTTTTGTTGGTTTGCTTGTTCTGATAACGTGACAGCAGCCCTACGCAGCTGTGTTGACCAACATAACCTGGTTGAATTCTCATCGATGTCCCTTCGCTCGCACGCCTGGTACCCTGGTCCCGGCCGCGCCTTCAGGTCTCAAATCACCTGCGCCGCACTCGGCAATACGCTTTTCGAAACGCACTCATCAAGGCTCTCAAAGAGCACCCTATTCCCAACGTCAAGCCTCCACAGTCCAGCACTCTGCAACGACTTGCCGAACACCTGCATGAAAAGCACTGGACACGATTCCCGAATGCCAAGTCAATTAAACAGATTCGATCGATTGGGGCCGCTAAGCTCAAGCCGTTTCATGAACAAACCTGGTTCGTCTTCGAACGCGTCAATGAGGAGATCCGGTATGACCCGCCGAGTAATGCAGCCTTGGCTACGCCTCGTCTGCGAACCGGCGCACGTAGACGCGCCAGTTCCCGCGCTCCTGCAAATGGTGAGCCTGAGTCATCAACGACATCCCCTTCTGAACCCATCACCGGCCCAGGGTCCTCCGCTAATGTGGAGGACAGCGCTGAGACATCAGATCCACCATTGCACCCTGAAGCAACATCAGACATCATGCCCTCATCACAACCGCAGCCGTCACCACAACAGCAACAACAGCAGCCACTCCATGATGGTGCTCAAGCTGAGCCCGAGCCTGGGGACGCTTCCCCCATGCAGCTTCTGTAGGTACTCGCCTTCAAGAAGATGACCTTGCTTGGCTTAAAATGGTCTCATTTTCCAGTCACAACGCATGCTCACCTGTTCACAATCTTGCCTCTATTTGTATGTCTTCACGAATTGCAGGATGGCCTTTCACGAGCACCAAGTGCAGACCAATCGAACCCTTGACTTTGAGCTATGCCACCATGCCCGGTTACCATGTGCGGGCAGCTATCGCACCCCGCTGGCCTCCCTGTATCTGCTGGAGGGCGCACAAATACTCTACTGGAACCCCCTCGTGGCACCGACACCACTAAATTGTCACGAATGTGGTACCCAGCTATCAGCCTTGCCAGCATCGTGTCCTCGGAGTGCCAACTGGTCCAAGTTGTTCCCCATCGAACACGAGGGCGCAGAGCCACGATTTGCCTCCTTTCGCGTCGTTCGCTGCCCAAACGATGATTGTGCCCTGCGCTTGAAGAAGAAAGGGCAAAAGTCTGCCCAATCCTTTCACTCCGGCCTGGAAGCCGTGCTCGAGGCCATGCCTACCTCATTGGCATCCATGTTTGAGCTCCACATCGGCTCGCGCAACCCAAAGGCATTCTATAGCATGCCATTCTACACCCGCGTCTTTGAGTCGCTTTGTGGAAGTACCACCTTGCTCTCGTTAGAGGAGGAGTGCAATCGGCAAGCTAGCGTGCGAATGACTTTGCTTGACACATGCTATTGCTCCCACGTGCTCGAATTT